GCAATTAAATATACAGTACCACACTCTAATCTTTAAAAAAAAAAGAGCTGCAGATTAATTCAAAAGGTGGTAGTTTGAAATCAAATGGAAGAACAAAGGGATTTCAGTATTTTTACTTAAGCACCAATTAGCTTTTTGCTAGAAAATAAGGACCACATTAAATCTTTTTTTTAATAAAGATATTGCCTTTGTGGAGACTGTGATTAAGCCCTGTGTTCCTCCTCAGCTTAACAACTTGGAGAAGGCTGTGTCAGCAACTCACACCTTCCTGAAGAAAAACCCAGATGAGCCCTATTTGACCAAAAACATGAACTACTACAAGACCCTGTTTGATGTGGAGGAGTATCTCATCGACCATGAAGAGCAACCATATGAGGTCAGTAGCTCAACAAACACAGCCTGACATGTGCTTGTTAAAAAATATCATTAACAAAATGTCTTTGATCCCAGAGTGTTTTCTTAAAGAGCGTGACGCTCTATAACAGTGGGGATTTCAGCAGCAGTGCCAGAAACATGGAGCAGGCAATCACAGAGTATTTTGAGGTGTACAGCCTCTGCTCAGCAGCCTGCGAAGGCTCATATGAAATCTTGGAGTATAAAGACTTCTTCCCAACACTTGCAGGTAAAAGAGAAAACACAGCAGCTTGATTTCAGAATGTCAGAGATGCATATCAACATTTACTTCCTCTGCTCTCAGATCTGTTCCTTCATGTGCTGAAATGTAAAGTGAAATGCGAGGAGCAGCTGATGCCCAACGTCGGAGGGTTCTTCGTTGAGAAGTTTGTTGCTACCATGTATCACTACCTCCAGTTTTCATATTATAAATGTAAGGAAAAAAATGTATTCTATTTAAATTTTTAAATTACCATAGTGCTTAAAATTGTGATTTTCTCATGTTTCCCAGTGAATGATGTAAAGAACGCTGCTCCCTGTGCGGCCAGTTACATGCTCTTTGACCCCAGCGACCAGGTGATGCAGCAGAACGTGGCCTATTATCGATTCTACCGGGAGCAGTGGGGGCTGCAGGAGGAGGACTTCCAGCCTCGGCCTGTGAGTGAAACAAGCTGCGCTTTTTCTTTTGCAAATCCATCTGCATCCTGCAGCTGCTGCAGGACTGTGTCGGTCAAAACAGATCTGGCAAAGCAAGGAGACTGTGTTATAAAAAGCAGCGCTGGCGCGAATGTTAACACAATCACTGGGCTGTAATTACAAACTCATATAGTCATGAAAAACTTGTTTTCTTTGCATTTTGCGTGGTGCAAATGTGGCAGCAGCTTCAGAGTACCAGCTATAAAACTGTAAATGTGGCCCTTTGGTAGCAGCAGGGTTTTTTTTTAAAAGTGCAAACCAAAATTGGGCTTATAAAACTCTTGGGTTGTTTACTGAGCTAACGTTAATGCTGATCTTTTTTTTTTTGTTTTTCAGGAAGCCCAGAGGTATTACAACCAGACAATAAAACAAAAAGAAATGCTTGATTTTGCACTGAACTACCTACAAACAGATGATGAGGTAAGTTTCCTCTGGATTTCTCTTTTTTAGTAGCAAAATGATGATATTACCCTCACAGAAACCCTAAAATCTGATTGCTAGTATAGGATATTTAGTTAAGTAGTTGAACAAAGTGATTTAGTTTCTGATTCACTGCTTGCAGACAGAACTATTAAACCTCTCATTGGTGTGAGAGATTTAACATAGAAAGTTTGATATAGAATACAGGTTTAAAAAGTCAAATAATCATTGAAGGACACTGTCCAGTTTTTTAAAGACAAGCTGTGACTGGTTATCGATAGGACAAACACAAAAAATAAAATAAAAAAGGAAATCTTTTTTTTTTATCTTTTAAGCGGTTTAAAATAAGAAAATATAAATTTCCCCCATGCACATTTTCTTTAGTGTTTTAAAAAAAATTATAATTAATGAAAATAATGCTTTGATATAAGCAAGAAGCAGTGATTTATATATACGTCAACATTAAAGTCTATTTACATCCTGATTTATTTACCAAGAGTGTTAATGTATTGCAGTGGACACATGTGACGTGTGTACGAGGGGCGTTCAATAAGTAATGCCCCTGACCCACTTCCAGATGTTTGATCAAGCTGAAATTTTGCATGTGACGTTATTTAAATCTCCATAGATTAAGTAGTAAATTACAGCTCTGAACTATTTGTGGTTTCTGACTTACAGGTGTTTGAATTGATTAAAGTCAGAAATGGAGCCTGTTGAGTGTTGAGCAGTGATCTGGTTTATCTATTGGAAAGGATTCACACCACGGGAGACTTTTGATGAAATTAAAGTAACTTATGGTGATGATGCCCATTATATGACCTTGTAAAATGTTTTACAGGTTATATTATGGGACATTATCACTATAAGTTACTTTCATTTGATCAAAAGTCTCCCATTGTGTGCCTCCTTTCAAATGCAAAAACACAGACTTGAATCAGTTTTATCACCAGTAAATCAGAAACCGAAATTAATTCAGAGCTGTAATTTGCTATTTATTCTATAGAGATTTAAAATGCTTCACATGCAAAATTTCAGCTTAATCAAAAATCTGGAAGTTACTTATTGAATGCCCCTGAGAAAAAAGTTCCAACCAACGTCAAGGCATATTTAGTTTAAGGGATTCTCCAGCTGACTTGAAAAGCTTAATCTTTTATGCTGTTATTGTCGGAACCTAAGGCAAATTTCTATTTAGTTCAACAATTTTGTGTTTTTCTAATGCATACATTTTTTTTCTTAGATTTTTTTTAAGGACTGTGTTGATCTGATTTGCTTACTTCTTGATATGTAGTTTAGCTGAATGACGGCAGCAAATTTTTAGGCCAGAGATCTTTATGCCTCAGAAGATAAGACCTGAACTGTCTGCAGGACCAGACATGATGGGAATGACATTTCTAACCCTGCAAACAGAGGAAGGACCTACTGGTTAAATGCAAGCTGTGGTCTAACATGCAGGAGAAGGAAACAAAAAAGTGAAGATGAAAGGGAGGGGGTTGTGCTTTCCGCCAGCAGTGTGTGGTATGTGGCTGGGAGGTGTCTGAGCCACATCCATTTAACTTAGGTCAGCTCCTCCCAGCTCTCAACAAACTGCCTGGGCTTTAGACAGGACATGGAGAATTACAGAGGAAAGTCATGAGAGATTTATGGGCACCACAAAGGAAAATGCATTGTTGGTTTTTTTCCAACACAGAATGAGACAAAAAAGTAATTGCCTTCCATTTTCTTGAACTTGTCATTTTATTTTATATTTCAGGACATTGTGAGCCCAGAAGAAACAGAAACTTCTCACTCTGACCAACCTGATGCTGAATTTGAAGGAATCGGTGACTATGAGGAGTCCTTCCTGGCTGAATGGTGGCAGGAACCCAAATCTAAGTGGGACACTGGTGAGGATGCCGACTGACGTCCAAGCTTATTTCCAAATGGTGTGGCGGACTCAATCCCAGTTCTCATGCCTGCATCCCATTTCAACTAACGGACTTTTCAACTAACGGACTTCTACATTCTCAGCTCTATTAGGAGAAAACAACACAACTGATTTTTTGGGGGGCTTTTTTCCATTCGGTCACGTTGATCAATATTAGAGACTAACATGCTCGGTCTCTGCTGCCAACAGCCTGGTTGAAACGGTTCATTATCAGCCTTATTTAAACAGTTTATCATCAATGAGCACACAGTCCATCAGCCTGTTCGCTCATTGTTTAAGACTTTTCTGTAGTTTTTCTTTTCTTATTTTATTTAAAGAAACCTGAATGTCTTTGTGCTGTTTTATAAGTAAGATGACCTGTAACATTTCTCGTGCTGAGCGATGTGTCAGACACCAGCAGTTTTGGTTTTCCTGAGATGTTGCTCGTAATTAAAATGTTATTTTAATTTATGCTCTTCTGGTTTTTGTCTTTCTAACAGTCCCACACACACAATAACTGAGTACAATAACTCACATTTGATTTTTGCATATTTGATATACGGTCATTTGTTTTTATATGATAGTATAATAGGATCCTCTTTCCTGGTGAAGGTCAGGGCTCTAACAACAGAATTTTGATTAAGCTGCAGGTGACTGATTTATTATTTTTTAACAACATAAAATTATCCAGAACAATAAAATAAAAGCATGCATAGCTTTGCAGTTTCATGTCTGGATAGAAAAGCCGTAACTCAATGGGTGCTAATTGTCTGATGTACCTACATACTTTATGTGGTTGTTAAACTTCACTTAAAACCTTGAATAAGATTATTCTCATTTTCTTTAAGCTAAGTTTATTTAGGTCTAGTTGAGTGCTGATTTCTAAGCTTGAAAAACAATTATGTGTTTACTAAATTCATGTGGAAGGCATGCTAACAAAAGCATCATCGGTTACAAATATTTAGGTCTCAGTAAGTGTTTTGGAAAAGCAGGAAAAAAACTTTTAGTCTATATGTCAACAGCATCAATATTTTAAAAAATATGTAGCGGTTATTCATATGTGAACCATTTTAGCATAAAACCAGATGATTTCACGCAATTTCCTAATCGGACAATCAAGATATTGTGATCCAGCAAAAACGTTGGCGTTTTGATGTACCAAGACATTTGTTATTCAAAACCTTTTTCAGTTTAGAGTCATGATTTGATTAAACATTTTTCTAAATTCTATAGTTAGCTGATAAAGTGTCCTTTTAAGCTTCTCTTAATTGGAATATTATAGTTTAGAAATGGTGATGTAATTGTTAGAGATCTAGTGGTCAAAAATGTCATCAACTAAGCCTTAGACTAAATCACTAAAACCTCAACCTTTATGAAAAAAGGGAGATTTATGAGAAGGGCTTGATAGGTAAAAGATCTGCATCACAGATTTACTCTTTAAAGGAACCACATTGAATCTGCAGAGCAATATATTAGGAACATTGAGAACAAGCAATTTTTAAATGCAATACAGAATTATTTAGGGCAGAAAAATACGTTCAATTTTGTTGCAAATGGACCAAACAGCTAAGGATGAGATTTAATTTGAAAAAAATCCTCTTGTAGGTTTTATCAGAAATCTCAGCTGTAAAATCTTTCACCACCTGAAAGAGTTTTGCAGATGCCTTCTAAAAGCGAGGTAATATGGGTAAAGTTGTTTTTCTATTATCTGATGCAACGCTGCATAAAAAAAATCAGGTGATGGTAGATTGGTGAACACATATTTTTGAAAGATTTGTCTTTTAATGAAACCATTTGGTCAAAATTATGAAACACTTTTAATGAAAATGTTTGTCGATAGTGAAGATATTTTATGCACACATAAAAATCCATTCAATTCCATTTTATTACATGAAGCAATGTTTTTAAGTTGACTATTGTAAGGACAGTTGTTATTCTCAGTCCCTAGTTTAGGTACAGAAACTACTTTTATGCAGTGTCACATTATTTCCTATGGAAACTTGTCATTTCTAACCTAAAAGCAGCTCAGAACTTTCATTAAAACTTAAATTGAGCTCTTGAAAAGTGAAATCCTCATGCACTAACTACCATTTTCCTTTTTTATAGACATAGAGCTTAGGACAGACGTAAACCATGTTTCAAGTTGTAAAAAAGACAGCGTGATGGTGGTGGTTTTATGTTTTAGTCTTTTATTTTCATTCATTTTAGTCCATCTACAAGCATCGGTAGAATATTTCCAATGTCCCAGTCCAAAAAGTGTCTAAAAATATGGTGTAAGATGCATCTCACTTTTTTTCTTTTTTTATCCCCTTTTGATCACATTTGATGCTCAATCTGTACATATTTATAGTAACAATAGTGCAAACCTCATACAAACCAAACGGATCCCATTCACACTGACAGTATAAGACAAGCATCCTATTGGACCCCAGACCAGAACTTTAATCTCATGTACAGCGAAGGGTCCTCACAAAGTTTGCTTTTTGTTTTTTTGGTGGGGGGGGTATTTCTCTCAGAGGTTTGGTGGATAAACATACAAAAGATTTAGTGAAAGACGAGGCTGTTTGGCCACATTTAAAGATGCATGAAGGGATGTGCTGTTGAAGAGATTAGAAGCTATTCATTAATAGAAATAAAACTGAATATTTCAACATAGCTTTCAGTAAAGCTTCATGGGTTGCATTTAACATTCAGTATAATTTGCACATATTTACAAATGGGTGTGCGTATAGTAGGCAGGTGCTCGTTTTCTGAAGACACAAGACAAAAACCGGTATTAACCTGCTGCATGGCTGCAGCTTTTAACTGGTTGTAGAAAGAGACAAAAGGTAAAACATTGTCTACCTAAGAAGAGTGTATACATGTGCATGGACACAACTGCCCCCTGTTCAATGTAAACACAAATACTGTACATTCTGGCTTTCTTTAAAAATATCTTTCATTCACACAATCACTGACAGACATACGGAGTAAACCTTCTACACACTTTGGAAGAGGTGAGGGCACACAGACAGATTTAGTGGAATGTATGTTGATAGTTCTGACATTTAAACACTAAGTTACGGTCTCTGCTGCTTCATAGTTCAGTGATTTAAAAATGATCCCAAAACCATAATTTAGCTCCTTGTTTTACCTGAAAACTCATATGGAGGAAATTCGAGGAGCATATGCAGCTCTGAAGCTGAAATGACTGACACAGTGCCTTGCAAAAGTAGTCAACGCTTTTGAAACGTTCCACATTTTCTCACAACTGCACACTTTGATGCATTTGGTATCTTATGTTATAGACCAACTAAAATCAGTGGAGAGTTGTGAAGTTAACAGAAAATGATGCATGGTTCTCAAACTATTTTACAAGTAAAAAGCTGAAAAGTTCAGCAGGCATTTAGAGTCACTTGTTAAGGATATTACAGCTGCAGTTCTCAAGGATTATGTCTTTATCAGCTTTTCATATCTAGAGAACATTCTTCTTTCTCATTTTCTTTGCAAAAATAGCCTCAACGCTCTAATAACATATTTGTTGGAAAAGCAATTTGTGATTTATCACAGACTTTGAGTTGGATTTAAGTCTGAACCATGGGATGGGCTTCGATGTACACCTTACAGAAACTTGGCTGCATGTTTGAGGTTGTTGTCCTGCTGGCAGGTTAACCTCCACACCATTTTGCAGCCTTTTAGCAGATTTTATTCCAGGATTGCCCTGTATTTATGGTGCATTGATCAGAGCCCTTTCTTCCACTGGCTTGCTGTCTCTCCCGACCTGTGAAAAATTATAATTTTGACTTCTTTTGTCTCTTTTTGTATCAGAAAATAAAATTTTCTTGCCTTTTCTCCCATAAAGTGCACAAATAATTTATAAAGGGCCTCTAGCTTCCTTCTGTGATTAATGCTCTCTTTGGTTTAGCATGTCCTCTTAGGGGGCAGGGCAGCCATGCCTTGATTGGTCAGTTCAGGTAGCAGATCAGCTGTATTTTTGAAGCACTTAAATCACAGTCTGTTTACTAATTATAAGACTTTGAAAGTAAATTAATTAGTATATAAAAATAAAAATTAAAACCATGAATCATTCCACTTCACAAGCATTCACTACTGTTGCTCTATCACATAGCATGCTAACTAATATGTGAAAAAGTGTGAAACAGTTTTCTGGGGTATGATTCTCTCTACCAGGCACCGAAAACCTCAGATTCTGATAACTAGCCGATCCTTCGCCTCTCTTTGGAAAACATGCAGACAGTTGAAGGATTTTCTTTTGCAGATGTTTCCTTTTCTCCAGGTGTGGCAGATTTAAACTGATAACGGTCTTATTTAAAGGTGCGCTGAGTCACAGCAGGTTATGGAGGTACTGAACCTCAGGTCCATTTCTTAAAAAAAAAAAAAAAAAGAAGCCAACTTTTTAGTTTCTGTCACATTATTTCGGTCTGTGCACTCATCCAGCATTTAATCTTGGACTGAAATGGTGGCTGGTCTATTCTCTGTGCAGGCAGGTTTTGGATACATGCCTCTTATCAAATCGGACCATCATTGATGTGTACCTTTTCTTAATGTCTCAAATTTGAGTAGAAGACACAAAAGCACATTCATAGGTGCCTCTGGACTGGGTGCCATCCACAGACGGAGCCTCATCGTTGCTTTAGGTGCCCCCTGGACTGGGTGCCATCCTCATCGTTGCTTTAGGTGGAGCCTGGACACAGTCCTCAGCTGGCAGCAGCCACATTAGAGTGATTTGGCTGGTAGTCCCCAAGATGGTGGAGTCCCCAAAGGGAACAAATGAAAGGGACAGACAGGAGTTTGGGGGAAGTGATTATCTAAGGAGATTTGGAGAGATCTTGGGGTTGAAATGGAAGACTTGTGTTTTCTTTTTTTATTCCCCTCTATTTGAACGTGGAAACGACACGAGGAGGAAGACAAGCGTGGACAAGACAGAGACAGAGGGACAGAGTGTGATCTTATCCTCCTCCAGATCTGAAACAGAAGAAGAGAAAGGAAAAAAAAAACAGCTGTGAGAAGATAAACACAGATGGAGAGCAAAATAACATGAACGTACAAATTCATCTTTATAGCCAAGCATAGTGGCAAGATTAAGGGACATGCATTAGTAGTTCAAATCAAATTAGTAGTAAATCAATCCAATAACAGTGATTAAAATGCATAGAAATAACTATGAAACTTAAGGTAAAAATAAATTTTTAGGTGTTTTAAAAGGATTTATTTTAAGCTTTGATAAAAAGAGGTTATTCTGTAATATTTTCAGAGTATCATGTGGTCACGCCGCTGCAAGACTGTACCTTCCTCTTCGAATGTTCCTGCATCATTGAAGCACATCAAGAAAGGAGACAAATGTTAAAACAGGTTAAACCAGCCAGACCAGAAAAAATAAACATGAAAGTATTTACAGATGCTTTTAGATTATCAGAACATTGCTTAAAATGGGACCAAATGAAAAAACATGAAGACCAGCTGTACAAGTAAAAGATCAAATATTCATCTTAAAAGATCTCACTCTGCAAAAATCAGACTAAAACTTCAACTGGTTTATATTGAGTCAGCAACGCTGGAAGACACTTTTAGATTTAAGCACAAAGCATAAATCAGACAATGATTTGTTAGTCTAATTTAATCTGACAGTTTTGCCAAATTGATATACTGTCAGATTAAAGTCATAAAAGCACTTAGCACCATAGAAATGGTTCATAAATCTGTCCAATAGGAGGAAACTTGCTCACGCACACATGCACAGACACCTAAATGTACAATGCCGGCCACATTTGACTAAGAAAAATCATGTTAGGAAATACTTGAAATACTTCATAATTATTTTAATAGGATATAACTGGACATTCTAAAAGATGTATACTTTACATTTTCTAAATTGACCAAGTATATATTAACTATTTAGAGGTTAGACCTTTACAGAATTTGGAAAAAGACATTATAGTAGATAAAGAAAAAATATTCAGTTAAGGCTTTTTAGTGCATCTTTACCAGAGATGTTATTAAATGTGACCAGCACTGTCCCATTGGCCCTAAAAGGACTGACATGTAGTTATTCATAACTTTTAAATAAACAAGTTCATTAGCCAGTAGAAGCAGTCCTTTTAGGTCAGACCTTCCATAGCGACCAATAGCAAGCATGCAAAGGCGATGTTGCACTTCTGTTAGAGGATTTAGGGTAAGGATGAGGCCTACTGAGGAAAATAAACAACAGAGGCTTCAGAAAGGTAATGAAAGTAGAAGAGGAAAAAGACTGCTTTGGTTAAGCCGACATGTTTAATACTGTGCAAAAGTCTTGAATCATCCCTAATTTCATTTTTTTTTTAATCTTCATTTCTGTTGTTTTCCCTTCAAACTTGCTTCAAGTGAACTAATAATTAAGAGCATGCTTGAAGATTAAAAAAATGTCTTACTCCATGGAAGTAAAGTTTTTAAGGAATTTGGGATATTTTAAAACTTTTGCAAGGTAATGTCAGGCAAAAAAAAAAGAAAACTGAACCAAAAGTAAAGGGAACTTCCAGATGTGGCACCAGTGGTGTAAAACAGATTGATTCTAACAGATCCTGGCAGGGAAATTTTTTACTTCTTTTCTGTCATTACTGCAAGGGACTTTGCTAGAAAGAGGATTAAGGGGTGAATTGATCTTAAACCCTAAAGCATTCAAGCAGTGAGAGCATCTTAAAGTTTACTCCCCATTTCCCCTCCCAGTTACAGTGCGATGAGTTGCACCTATTTCAGACTGGTGATAGTGGGAGGGGCGGATGGGGGTTCTTAAGGTAGAAGCAGACAGGAACACAAAGGCATGCCAGAACTCTTACTTAAATCCCCATCCTGTTCCCCCTAGGACTATAGCTGCCAGGAGAATAGCACCTGCGATGGACCCTATTATGATATTGGTGCCACTGGGACCTGCACAGAGGAAGGAGGGGAGGAGGAAGGGTGCGGAGGAAGAGGAGGGGCAGAAACAAAACAACACCACTAAAAAACACACGTCATAAGACAGCATCAACACGGTACGTCAACGACATCAACTAGAGAAAGAGAGGCAGATGGTGGGATACCTGCAGATAGAGACAGAGAGATGAAGGGAGGGGTTGCATCACGTTGGGTGGCAGATGAGCAACGTAAGGCAGGTCAAAGGGGACAACAGGTACACAAAGAAAAGGGAGAGAGAATTGCATTACTTTCTTATCATTTCCCTCTCTCCTGCTCTCTCAGCTGGACACCCTCTTTTCTCAGGGTGGCTGCTTTGGCCCTAAAAGAGCAGCTGCTTAAATTCTCTCTCATTGGCAGACTGCAAGAAAGTAAGAGACACTTAAAAAAATGCAGTGCCCAAAAAACAAAAAACAAAAACACCTATTAGTCACAAACACACTTTCACAAAAAGCAGTTTGTCAGCACATATGCTCAACACACACCTACAATGTTACAACAGTAAGACTCAGCAGGGAAGAAAATACCACATGGTTTAAGGTGACAGCTGAGTGAGGTGGCCTACTTCGTGTTTCGGCACAGATAGAAGGCACACGGATGATGCAAAGAGACTCGGGGGGGGGGGGGGGGCGGTTTACTGTGAGAGGCAGAAAGAGATGGAGAAAGAGATGGAGGGAAAATTTTGGGTTCTGACCTTTTTTCTCCGGGCCGGTTGGGACTGTGGGCTCAGGGATGGGATCGAAAACACTGCAGTCCTTTCCTGTGTAGTCCCTGTCGCAGATACACTTCACCTCATTGCTGCAGGTCTGCAGGTAAGAAGCAGAACGAGGAAAAAAATAAGAAAAACATGGTATGAAACAAAAAACCCAAACTTTTTTGAATGCCTTTTTTTCTTCTTTAAATGAAAGTATTTAAAAACTGGATTGTGTCTTTCCTCAGGTTATTTTATTCTTATATAAAATTTGTTTTATAATCAAAAATTTTAAATATGGAAGATGTATGCTAGTATATGAACTTCACAGCCTTGAATTTGACCTTCGAGTTAGTAGTTTTAGTTTTCAACACCAGATGAGTTTCATAAACTTTTAACAACACGTGAGCAAGAAAACAGTCAAACTATACTGAGCAACCAAAAATCTAAGCCTTAAATTAGAAGAACATGGAAAATAAAATACCTTAAACAAGCTATTGGGTTTATACAAAAATTAAAGTTTTTGTTTTGAAGAAAACAGATTCCTCAAACCAGAACTAAAATAATCTGTCCCTTTAAGACCCCTTATTTAAACTGAACATTTTTTTGTGAATTAAAAGAAATAAATTATTTTTAAAATATTGAAATATGTACGTCTTTTTATTTATTCTCCCAAGAATATGCTATTTTGGTTAAAAATTGAAAAAAATGAAAGAAATCCCTACAGAACTGCCATAATTTCTATTAATTCTAATTTATGTTAAGGTTTATTTAGATTTTTTTGCAACTCAAATTGAAATCATTTTGTTAATATTTTTACCCCATGGTCGGAGCAAATGTGTCCAAATTTCGATCCTGAACAGACGCTGAGGTTAAAGGCTGAGACAGGGAGGCAGCGTCTTTCCAAACACATCATGTTGGGACCGCAGGGCGTGCCATCCTCGACGTAGCCCATGTCTGAGCCGTCCTCTAGCAAAGCATGGCCGCCTCTGAGTGGAGCATCCAAAAGTGCCGCATGAATGAGAGAATAGAGCAGCAAAATATCACTGAAGGCAAACTACCTTCCTGCAGATTTTCTGTATGCGAGCGTCTTACCTGCAGTCCAGGTACTTGTTCTGATGATAGAGGGTGAAGCTTGTCACCTCACCTTGCAGGTCACCAAATTTTGGCTTTGTTGTGACATTTGCACAGAAAAGGAAGCCACATAGTACATCCCTTAGGGAAGGAGATTGAAGAAATAAATATGAGCATCTGATCTGGTAACAAACAGCAGGCTGTGTTTTGGATTTGCAGCTCAGGACACTTCTACAGGTTTAACTCACGGCTTGTTGCACTGAAGCCAGCCTTTCCCTCCAGGCCCACGGCCACAGTTTCCCTTCTCGGTCCCTTCAGCATTCAGCTTCTCATAACAGAACCTGTCTGCTGAATCTGCACCGATCAGAGATTAGAAAGGTAGTAGTCAATATAAGTTACATTTCTGCATGACAAATGGAAGTGATTGTTCTTTTTTAAATACACACTATAACCCCAGAGTCCTTTGCATTGTCCATCACGAGTCCTGCAGCGTCCGCCATAACAGCGCCCCTATGGAGGTCAAACAGTGCAGATAAAGCATGAGGCCCGCATTAACAAGGAGCTTAAAAACAACAGGGGTTCTGTCAGATCGACCCGTAGGACCAGCATACCTATGGTCCACGCATGCGTAAGACGTCAGATTTGCATTTATCCCTTTAGTTTTGAATGAAAAATAAACTTTAAACTACCTCAACGGGCGTGTATCCCTTCAGTCATGTGCAAAAAAAAAAAAAGATCTCAGGTCAGATCGCCATACGCTTTAAAAAACACCAAAAAGTAAGTGATTAAATAGTTTTTGGTACATGACTAAAGGGATCCACACCCTTTGAGGTAGTTTAAAGTTAATTTTTTGTAAAAGCCAAAGGGTTAAACGGGTATTGACTATGGGGATGCTGGTCTGACTGGGTTTGCTCATCTGACAGAACAACACTGGCATGATCCAAGTCTTACCTGGCTGTTATCACACATGTATCCATCCAGTTTGTGGACATTATGAGGGCACTGACAAAGAACAAAATGCCATAAATTACAAAAACTCCAACAGGTCGTGTCATTTTTATTTCTCCTCTGTAATGTTCACCTGGCTGGAGTCTCCTGTGCAGGTTTCAGAAATATCACAGTCGTTCACGGCCTCTCGACAAACAACACCTCTCAGCTGATACTGGGAAGCAAAACAAAAGGGACTGAAGGTTAATGAAGAAAGTGTATGATTATCATAAAGGTTGCTGAAAATGTGACTGGAAGAAACAGATGTTGTCAAGACTTTTTTTTCTGTTAATTACAATTATTTTTTGCTTGTTGCTCAAACACAATAACTGGAATATTAAAATCAAATGATAAAAAAATAAGCTTAATACCTCTTAATCAAACCAATGAACCTCACTACAATGCATATTCCAGTGTACTGAGATGTACAGGATCAATCCATAGAAAATTATCATTATCTTGCTAAAACTAGTAACATTTTAAGCTTTTTTAAATCTCGATTTTTTACGTCTAGCAAAAAAAACAAGCTGGATTCATCTGAATACCAGATATGATTTAAAAATTGACCTAAAAGGTCATTGATCATCAAGAATCAATCTTTTTATTTTGTGCAATCAGTTTTATGGTGATTATGTTGGTGTATTAGGCTCTCCAGGTTTCCTCCTACAGTATATCTGTTCAATGCTTCACCTGATCCAAAAATCACTTCATTATTCTTTAATAATATTTATAAATCTACCACTAGGGGGCGTGGCAGAATGTATTTTAGGAAAGCAGCAGCTAATTCTGCAGCACTGTGATGGAAAGAAGGTATTTAGCATTATCTTAGGTCTGTTTAGGAAAACGTTTTATAAGACCAGTAATTTAAATGCACATATTTTGGATATTTTTAATTAATTGGATATGAGAGAACTGAGAAATAAAATTCAATCTATGAAACCTGTATCTGGTTTGTGCCTATCAGGTCAGGCAAAATATATTTTTTTTTTATTGCCAGCTATGGTAAAGATGTGCATATTGTCCTTAGGTAAACTCCTTAAATTGTAGAAGCAAAACCACAGACTGCATCCCTTTAACAGAAAAACAGACAGATCCTAAAATGCTCCGGCTTGCACTCTCTCTGTGGATCATCCAAAGTCCTAAATCCTCAGCTCTGCAGTCATCTCTCCTGCCCAACAAACAAGTTACCAAAATTATTTAGGTATTAAAATAGGGATTGCAATTTAAAAAAGAGGTTATTTCTCTTTTAGTAAATAATTTGGATATTTTTAAAAATCAAAATCCAGATTATTGAAGTACTAATTTTCAGTTTTCTGCTGTAGAGTTTACCAGATTTGTTTTGAGTGCTTCTAAACGGTTCATTGTGATGACGCACAGTCCACAGCAATAGTGCCTTTTGAAAAGGTAAAAGCAAACAGCATTAAAGATATTTCACCATGCTTTGATATAGGTATGATTTGCTTTTCCAAATTTTTATGCTTTATTTTGCATCAAACTGTTTACTAATGTTTGTGACAGGAAAACCTCAAACCTCGTCCAAAGTACTGATTCAGTTAAAAGTGACATTTTTATGTTTTGGATGTTTTTTTTCAATGCATTGATAAAAAATATTACATTGGGAAGTAGGTGGTTTCTTAAATTTGTTATGGAGAAAAGGTGGTTGCTGCAGTTCTCAAATAGTGAGTTAATAATATTTATTTTACTCTTATTCCATTATTTAAACTGGACCAATTCACAAGATTATTCATCGTAGGTAAATGTCCATCCTTGACCACCGGACAAAATGAATGTAAAACTTTTTCATTATAACATATTTGTTCTCTAGGAAATTGGAAAAATTGGTTATTTGAATTTTTTCCAAAATCGATTTTTTTCCCCCAGCAGACAAATTTGATTAAATTAAAAATGCTTTTACAGGCATATTTATTTTAGGCATTTGTATACCTCTATACCAAAAAATATTGTGTAAATAAACTTTAATTCATTAGACAAATGTGGCATGAGAAAAAAATGTATAAATGTTTTTGTGTTTTCATTATAACATTCAAACAACTTGCTTTTTTACCCACACATTTTCTCTACAGACAACAAAGTCTTGGAAACACGGCTGTTTGCATTCCTGCCCAACTTACTTTACAGCCACTGCAGCAGAGTCCATTACTGCACATGGCATCATGGGTAAGGGTACACTTTTTGCAGCAGGATCCCCCCCTGCGGGCGCACTCCTGCAGATGAAGCCAGGAAAAGATCAGCTTTACAAACACTACAACATTCCCAGCTTGATATCAGAACATGAGGTGATGTCTGCTACTCACCACCTGAGATCCACAGTCACACTCTTCTCCTGGCTCCACAAAGCCGTTTCCGCACTCAGGAGGATCCAACAGCTAAAATAATAATAAAAAAATAAAATACATAATATGATCTATTAAATATAATATAATATTTAACAGTTGAGAAAGAGGCCCTTATTGCTGTCACCTTATTGGGTTTGTTAAAGAGGCAGCTGCCACCCCCCTGGAGCAAGAACTGGATGTACTCGTCAACACTACAGCGAGAAAACTTTCTGGGCAGATAATATCTGTGATCACAAACATAAATACGCACACGCAGACACATGAAGATTAAGATATGCACTCAAAATCAAACAGTACAATGCTTTTTGGCCAGTCAGGAATGCCAGATCCACCGTGGGTGTGTGTTCCATCACTTAGCAATCTAACACAAACGTTCCCATCTGCAGTAAGAATATATCTCAAATAATTGTATTCTTTATTGTCCCATCTGTCTGGAGGAGCTCAGTCCAAAGACAATTTGTCATTCTTAACACATGAATCTGGAGTCTCCTCTTTTAGCAACATGTATTCAAGCTTGTTCACAATTAAATACGTTAACGGGTTTCAGCATGAAGAAAGAAGATAACACACACATAGAAACTGCTTTTAAACAGGGATTTTACCCAGTGTCTTCCATTATGCATCCTACCCAGGCATCTGGGCATCTGCACTCACCTGCAAAAAAAAAAAAAATAAGAAAAAGAAAAACTTCTATTCTTTTTATGAGTAACACAAAAAAATAAAGAAAGGAATTCAAAATATATAAATATAATGAATTCCTTGACATTTAGGTCACAATTCCACAATTTTTTAGAGTTCCAAATAATAAAAGAATAATGCTATGAAACAGAAATGTTGACTTACTTGCTGAGGTCCGCGCGTTGTTCCATCTCATCCCAATGTTCTGGCCAAGGCTTTGACACAAAGTGATGGCCATTGCCCCGACACTACCATACTGAAATTTAAACAAAAAGAAACGTAAAGCAAGAAATGGATATTGCTTTGATACAATCCTACTGATAAATATTATACATTAAAATTTTTGGTGGTAGTAAAATCGTTTTAATGAAACGGATATTTTCTGACACTAATTAAGAGATTTAACCACTTATATCTTTCAGATATAAGTGGTTAAATCTGTTTGTAGTTTAGTAGTTTTCAAACACGCCTTCCACTAGGATGGTTTGGACAAAATCATGGGGTTGTCACCACCTTCTGGTGAACAAGACCCTTAACCTCAAATGGCTCCCTATGTGCTACTCATGGAGGCAGCACATTGCAGCACAAAGCAGCCGATGAATTTCTCCACTGTGGGGCTATAAAGGGATCTTTCCTTCCCTAAATAGCTAACAGTGACTTTATAGTATGATGACAAAAAAGGGAAGAGTGTTGCAATTCAAAAATCAGAGCTTTGATATGAACAGTTGCTTTATCCTCATTTTTAAGCATGTAAATATAAATACATTTTAAGTCCTTCTCAACTGACTAACGATCTGATTTGAAGTCCAGGCTTTAGCTGCCTTTACGTCACGGCGTCATAATCAAAGACATTTGCATAGTGTCTGCAGAGGAACTATTTTGAGGGGCTTTGAACAGAGAACAGACGACTTGCATGCCATCCAGCCTGTTTGGACTAATCTAAGCAGAACAGGCCTTTTCAGGAGCTTGGACCTAACAAGATGGGTAATAAAACAGTAGATCAGGAACAGGGAAACAAGAAAGGTGTCGCTTAAAAGACAGCATCTAGTAGTGATTTTGTTTCACACTGCAACATATAAAAAAAATAATTAAAACTGAATCACAAGAGGGTCAAGAATCGTTCTGTTTAGCAGAATACGTCGACACTGTGGAAGATTAGTGACTCTTAAGACATTTACAGTATATGCATGTTGTGTGTGTCCAGGGCTGGGAAATAAATCAATATTTCGATCATATCAAGATTTCACAATGGATTTAAGATAAGACTATACAATTTTTTTTAACAAGATGTTCTATTTTGTGTTGATATTATAAATTTAATTATTATTTTTTTCAGCCATTGTTTTCTTTTTTGTCAACTCTTTGTTAAATGGGCCAATGAGACATTTTGGACAATACTGTGACTCAGATGTTTTTCTATAATTACTTGATGTGAAGAAAAAACACTTTAAGATAAATATCTTAAATTGTCACTTTGCTTAAAAATATGGAAATATTATTTTTGATTTATATTGCAGAGCCCTATGGTTGTATAATTATATATGGTTTAAGCAGTGTTGGATCATCTCCAGCCATTATGCATACTGCTGTGGATGGTGGACTTAAAGAAAATGGTGACGTCTTCAGAACATGAACTGACATAAATCCAGTGGCGGTTCTAGACCAAATGTACCAGAGGGCCAGGAGGGGGCCAGTGTTGTTTTCAAGGGGGCACAGAAAAGCGTGAAATAAAAAACACGGTAAGGGATTCAAATAAATTAAGAGAGTTGCATAAAGTAAAATTTCCATTCAATTAGGTTTAATTAAAACTCTATTTCTTATTAGGTCAATATACATTCAGGATTTCGGGATTTTACATATTTTTCCCATAATTTAAGTTCAAATAACCGTTTTTTAAAATAAAATCTGAATTAGAACTGAAGAAAAGCCGATAAATTCACCTGTAAAAAGTAGAGCATTAAAAAAAAACATTTAGTAGATAAAATCTGGGATCCTATCTCAATACCACAAAAGCCCTATTATTACCTTATTGTTTTTGAATTATTAGTAAAACAGAATTTGCAAAGAAAAAAAAAGTAACAAAGTATTATGTCTTCAGTGCAGGGGCCAGAACATGAGCTACAGGGGCACTGGCCCCCGTTGGCCCCCGTCTAGAACCGCCCATGCATAAATCTGTTTACAATCCTGTTTGAATTTCTCATCTAATTAGCTGCCGCTTTTAACCCCCAATCGTTAAACGTATAAATGCTGTATTTTGCTTTTGTTACGCTAAACGCCTAAATTAACACTAAATGAACTCAGAACACTTTAGATTGCCTGAACAGGTATTTTTCTCTTACTGCTATGAGATTATATTTTCTCTTACTGTTTCCATTTGGTGTCATTTTGACTGCAAAGATATCAATGGTATAAACTGCACTTTGGATGGATATGAATGTATCCAGTTTTTTATTATTTTTTGGGTGACTGCGGCCGGATTTTCCTTATATCCATGCAAACATTTTACTGCTCCTATACAGATATCATGAAAAAAATGTAAATTTAATTACAACATGAGAATAATAACAATAACTGTTTATAGTACATGGCCTTACTTATACTGATACTAGTGACAGAATGAGGCTTTTAGTAATAGTGAGAAAAAAAGTTTATAGGGTTCATAGGCATATGATATCACCTGTGTTTAAGTTTTCAGTTTGATAAAACGACAATGTTTATGTCTGCTGATCACATCTGGTGCAAAAACTATTTTCAGATTAAAAAAGAATAAGTTAACTCTATCAGGACAGACTCTTGGTATGTATAGGTTTATTTGCAAATTAAAATATGTTTTTTTTTAACTCGTGGTATGTGACTTGGCTCCTTTGCCTTTATATAATATTACCAGCTATTTACGTGTTAAAAGGTTGTCTTTCGTCTTGAGCAAAACACGGACAACAAAATCGAAAATAAATAAAACAAATCATTCCAAGTTTTCTTGACATACTTGATCTAAAGATTTTGATTAATATTTAAAGGAAAATCTTAACTTTAAACGTGAATTGAATGACGTGCTGCAGACCCACACAAAAAATTTTTTAGAAACAGCTAATTAGAGCCAAAGTAAGAATATTAATGATTCCAAATTACATTTTTAAATATAATATTTTTTTTAAACTGCGGAGTCTTAAAATCTGCTTTTCCTAAATCATGAATATCCCAATGCCAAATATACCTCATTGATTCCTCCTCCTTTTGTTGGAGAACACACCCCTCCTGTGTAGGCGGTCCCACTGCGGCTACTGTGAAATGTACGTCCTCTGAAAATCACAGAAACAACTTTTTGAGAAAAAAATCTTTGCTCGAACCAATAAGTAAAATTCTTTAGGTTATAAATTAGTCCAATTCTCATACGAGAAAAGCTGAACAACGTCACTCTGCTCCCTGATGCTGTCCTTCCTGTACTTCATGAAGTTCTGCAGCGTAATCAGCGGGTCCTCCATCACCGGCATCAGGTTTTCTGAGGTCCAGGTTTCCATGGCTACCAAAACAATCCTGGTGTTCAGCTGCTCCTGAAAGATCTGAAGATAGTGATCGGCTTAATCATTTGTGTCCGTGGAGAGATGAACCTTCTCCAAAAGAGAAGATACATCCTGACAGGTGGTGTTTGTGGAGTAGGAGGATTGACGGTCCTCACCGTGTCTGCTGTGTTGACTACAGCTTTGGCAAAGTTTTTGGTTTGGCTGCTCGAACGACGCAGCTGCACAAACTGAAGAGAGAGAAAAGATCCACAGATGGCTTAAGAAATTGATCTGTGATGCAAACACTCCAGCCCAAAAGAATGGGAAATGGCACAGATCATCAGTGACAAAAAATAATTCCAATTTCATAAATGTAGACAGTGTTTATTTACTGTTAGCACCATTAAAGGGTTTATTTAAGCTACAGATGAATTAGCATGCATCACACTCATTAAACAGGGTGAACCAAGATGCTTGATTTAGATATAGCTGCACCAATACTAGAGCTACTCGGATTTTAATTGTCTTTACATATCAGATAAGCGACAATAAGGAAAAAAAGAATAAGACAACACTTATGCAGCGCCATGATTGTCTCTTTAACTCACCAAATCGTAATCATTTACCACCATCAGCTCAATGTATTTGGTCTCCATCTGAACAGAGGGCCTGCGGGCAAACCTTTTGGATCTCCTCAGCCCCCCAGTCACCTGCTGATCCTGATTGAGGTCTGGTTTGCTGTCGTCTTCAACACTTTCACTGCCGTCCTTCTCATTATTCTCTGTACACTCTGGAAAAACCCAGAATCAGAGCTGTAGGCAGTCATTTTTTATGGTTATTACAAGGTCTGTTGTCCACATGGATCTATTAAGGGTACAAACATAATGCTGAATAATATCTGACTTATTTTTATTTTTTGTAGGAATATAATGAAACTATTTGGCCCCTTTTTATTATTTTTTTCTTTATTTGGGAAAGACAAATGAAGAGCCATTCAGTCGCAAAAGGTTAGGGTAAAGGTAAAAGACTTAAAAGCTAAAAGACTTCAACCCCAGACAGGCACATTGGTGTTGCTCACCTAGACAGTGCTGGGAAAGTCTGATATCAGGCATCCTGCGGATTAAATGAGCTCCATCCTCCTAAAGAAGAACAGTTACATATTAGAGACAGATACCTCAATCATTTCCAGTTTAGAGTTAAAAGACTCTTACCTAAAAAACAACTCAAAACTTTCCTTTAAGAAGGGTCAGGTAGGGAAAGGAAAAGCAGCCAGACTTTACCAAAAAGGAATCTCTGCTTTTTATCTCTTTAAATTTCTCTTCCACATCGCTGAGATTTAAACAATCTTCATCTAAAATAAGAGTTTAGATCGTGCATTTGCTTTTGTTGAGCTAAAAAGCCTGCCGTGCAAATGTTAAGATATGCAAACCGTTTTACTTAAGTCCATTAAAATGAGCAGTTGGCGTGTTCAACAAGCAGTTAAAGCATTATGAGCATTCTTATCTATATCTATCTATAGTGGACTTTACAGGCAACCAAACTCTTAAGTTTTACAAACAAAAGAAAAAAGATAAATAATGAAAATGAATAGTTTTAAATATAACAAATGAAATTTTAAACACTAGAAAGTTGTCTTTGTCTGTTGATTATATAAACTATGACCGTACTTTCTGTTTTGTTGAAATGAGGGAGAAAAAATCCCTTTTGCAAAAAGGAATGCAGAATTTCCAACCCCTTCATGTCTCTTTGCAGGCTCTTTTAAAATACTAGTTTTTTAAAATAAACCTGCCACAATATTTAATTTCATTTTTTTCTCGCTGATTTAATTATATAAATATTGGCTGCTGTCCCACTGCATTAGTTTGTGCCACCCTGCTTAAACATATTTTATTTATTAAAATAATTCTTTATGGAAGTAAATCTGTGTTGCTGGGATTTTAATTAAAAATGGCACTGAAATTTAAATGTTGTATGTTTGTACTTACTGTTTCAGTGTTAAAATATATTCAGAACACATTTTTGACCTAAAAAAAAAAATCATTGTCATTATTTCTACACAGTTGAAATTGTATTAGTTATTTTCTCTTCAAGCTAAAAATTCACATTACTATTTCAAAGTGATTACATTTTCAATACTTATTTTTCAGTTTAATTTTTGAGTGTTAAAAAAAATCTTAATATAACAAAATTCAACCTTTCAAAATTTAAACTCAATATTTTCAGCCTCCTGAGATTCAACTGGCTGTATTTCACTGGATACGTAATGTAACGGGATTGGCTGGGTGTTGGACGCCACAATCCATTGCTAATGTCTGTGACCTGAAGTAACCCTTCCCTTTTTACACTGAATTTAGACGCCGAATGTCAGACAGTGAAATAGAGCCAGTTGAATCTCAGGAGGCTGAAAATATTGAGTTTGAATTTTGAAAGGTTGAATTTTTTTATATGCAGATTTTTTTAACACTCAAAAATTAAACTGAAAAATACGTATTGACAATGTAATCACTTTGAAATAGTAATGTGAATTTTTAGCTTGAACAGAAAATAACAAATTAAATTCAACTTTGTAGAAATAATGACAATGAACTTCTTTTTAGATCAAAAATATTTTCTGAAAATATTTTAACACTGAAACAGTAAGTACAAACATACAACATTTAAATTTCAGTAGCATTTTTAATTCAAATCCCAGCGACACAGATTTACTTCCATAATTCTTCTATTGTCATTTCTGACCGTCCAGATATTTATTTACATGTGCAATGAATCTCATTACATCCTATAGCATTGTACCCTTCCCATCTTTTTTTACAATAATGAGCACAGAGATATTTTTGCGAGTGAGTTTGCACCTGACTTTCAAAAGTACTGAAAATATGCAAAAACTGCTAAAGTTGAGTTTTACTTTGAGAAAATATAGAATTTGTTTGTGCAAAATAATAGATTTGCATATCCCTCCCCCACAAATGTAATCAGTTTTAGTCAATACATTATGATCTGTATATTTATGGAGGCACACAAGCAAAAAAAGGTTTGCATGCACTGTTTGCACACCTTTTTTGAAAATGTACTTTAAATATGCTAACATGTTAACACCTGTTTTTAGAACGCACAAACTTGCTGAAGATCATGCCTTATGTCCAAAATACTATGTGGTTCTTTTCAACACATGGTCTGTAATACAGTCATTTCTAAAGCTCAGAATGCAAACCAGCAATAGTGAGGTTGCAAGATCCAATGATAACTCTAACCTGCAAAATATTTTTTGTGCTGCAATAAATGAAGCAGTGAAAAAAAAGTTTTTCTAAGCAACAGATATAATTAAAATACAATATAATCTAAAACTCTTTAACTGTTCATTTGAAAAGTTTGGGAACATCTGGTTTATAGATGAATAGACTTTATCTTTATTGATCCCTGTTGAATTTAGTCTAGTATACCTTTAGGTAAAAGTTTACCTCATTGCTTGCATTGTGAACAGGCTCAATTCCATAAGAGTAGAAACCATCAGAGAACATGCCACTGCAAAGCAACAGCATGATGAATTAGTGGATGCAGGAAGGGAAATAATGAAAAGCAGAAGAAAAAAATGCAGAGGGAAGCAAGATTTGGACAAATGAAACAATGGTGCTCACCACAGGCCGTGACACGTAGAGACAGCTGCCCAGGAGTCTGGTAAACCTCTTAGCCTTCCCTGGTAGTAGCAGTGCTCTCCTCCCTGTAATAACAAAAGAAATACTTCAACAAATACCTGTGTTGACAGACCCTGGGCTTTACATAGCTGCTTTTACACTTCATTAGACACCACCACTCTTCATGTCCCCCACCATCACAGTTACAACGCAGTTGGTGACCTACTTGAGTTTACTCCACACTCTTGAGCTCCATTCACAATAAGGGTGGAGGTGGAGGCAAAGCACGCTCAAGGATCTCTTCAATAAATCAACACTCATGTCGCCAGCACTGTTTTGATTTAAGAATGAAGTGTAGAGTAAGTAGGCTGAAACTCAAGGACGCTACTATCTGCTCACGCTTTCTTGGCAAGACTGCAGCTATGGGGAAGAAGTAGCAGGAAAGGAGAGAAATGTTGCTTCACCTGAACCAAACTGAGCTCAGCGGGGCGAGTCTCAACCTCACAGCGGCTCAGACTGAAAGGAAGGCACAGGTTGGCGTGCCCTGAAAGCATGGCGCCTGGCACGTCCAGCCCGCAGCAGCATCGACACGTGAGGCCTACATCCAGCTGAGCAACAATCTGGTCTGACTGTAGGTCTCCGCTCCCAGCACTGCATGCCTCTACCTCCCTCCCACCACCCAGAGCTACACCGACTGCCTGCAAATACACATCTACATGGTCACACTGCCAAATACATCATGCTTTTGTTTGAACTGGCATTTTACTCCCTTCTCTCGTCTTTCTCCACATCCTCTTGCTACAGCTCTGCTCTTCCCTCCCTCCTTGTCTTCTTTCATTCTCTTGGCTGCCAAGAACTTAATGATGCTGCTGAGCTAACTGGTTGCTGTGGCAACAAGGCTGTGATTGGTCAGAGGGACTGAAGGAGAGTTTGGAGCGACTGTGGGTGGGTACATGTAGTGCTGAAAGGGTGGATGGGTGGGTGGGTGCTTGAGGGGCAGTAAGAGGTACAATTGTCAAAAAAAAAAAAAATTGTAAATATAAATGTCCACCATCCCTCCTCGCGAGAAGAATAAAGCCATATTCCATCTTCCAACACTATGGTGAAGTTTTCAGCAGTGTAACCCTGCTATGTGTAGGTATGTAACACTACGTCTTTTTGTCCTGAGCGTCTTAGAAAGGCCACAGCAGACTGACAGGTACGCTCTCATATGTGCAGACCAGTAACATTCCTGATCCTGTTGTTGCATAGCAGTCTACTTTAAAGCAGAAAGCACATAATGCACGTTCTATAAATAGACAAACCAACTGGAAGGCATCAAACAGCACAATGGTAAATCTAAAAATTCACATTAAAAGAGAAATCCAAGCAACAAGCATCACTGATTTTAAATTTAGAATAATTACATATTTATAGATCTATTTTTCCATAGCAACATTGAATAAGACTGGAAAAAATGACACTTATTTGATTTACTATGAGAAAAAGTACGTACATGTGACAAATTAACTTGTGTTTAATTTAAAAAGCTGTTTTTATTGTTTTGGAAGATACAGTATGTATATTAACCTGGCCATTTGTGGAGGAACTAATCCACCACTAAATCTAACAATTTATTGTGTCACCTTTAGTGTCAACTAGCGATGTCCAGATACAACCTTTTCATTTTTTATATACGATACTGATATCGCAGCTTTGAGAACTGACTGATACCGATACTGACCCGACTAGATCTCAGCATGAGTCATACATACATTTATTAATTATTTTATAGTGTGGAATGATAGAAAAATAAAATTTTCAAAAACAAAGAACTATAATTAACATCAGATATGAGAAAAACTGATTTCCTATTCACCAAAGAGTTACATAAACTTAAAAAAAAGAAGCCAGGACGTTCTGTGTGTTTTCTAAATTAGTAGATTTATGAGGCAGGAATCATATATTCCAATATTCACTTTTTGGCAGATATCAGACTGATTTACAATATTAGAATTGAATTGGGAAAGCACTTGTGTCAACAACTGCAAGCAAGTTTAATGGTGACTGTTGAGTTTTATACATGACTGTGGAGAAGCTTTGATCCATTCTTCTTTGCAGAATTATTCAAGTTCAGCCCCACTGGAAGATTTCTGAAAGGTTTACTAATAGTCAGGACACTGCTTCTCTATCAGATAAAGTCTGGATTTGACTAGGCCACTTTAAAATCTACATTTATTTTCTTAAAATGAGGCTGTGGTGTGCTTTGGACTTCTGTCTCCCTGCATAAGTGAAGCATACAGTAGCTTAACGCTTAACTCATCCTGATTCAAAGGCATAAACTCGCCCCAAGACACATTTTGACAAATCCAGCCCTGATGGTTAGGGTGAAATGAGAGAATAAACAGTGGGAGGTTGGGGATGGTATCAAAACGACTCCAGGGCCAATTGGACCGATAAGCTTCAGCCTTATGCATCCTCTTAATGGTGAAGTTAAAGACAGCGAAATTATATTTTAACAAGCCAAATCTGTCAGCGTTTTTTCAGAGCACTCCTCAATCCATTATGTGAAAATTAAAAGAGTTTGGCACAACTTCAGACTTACTGAAAGAGGAATGTCAACCCAACTGAGCAGTTGAGAGAATACTATCCATAGAAGCACTCAATAAGCCGACAGCAACTCTGGATGAGCTGCAGTTGATGCAAAGCTCAAGTAGAAGAACCTGGGCTCAAGAAGGACTATTGACGGGATAACTAAAGGTCATGCCCTCAACAGATCTGTCCACCTTGCTAACAATTAAAACATCTTAGTTGGTTAGGTGGCATATAAACTTAAAACATGTGGGCCTTTGTGCAACACAATATTTGTTAATGCAGCTAATAGACAAATTAAATAAAAATAGGACACTAGTGACCTGTCCAAATAGATTCTGGAGTGGCTGGTGATCTTCTAGCAGGACAACAGACTTTAGCATACAAGGAGAGCTACAACAGCAAACCTTAGATATTTGTCTATTAGAATGGTCAGATCCAAGTAGAGACAGAAATCTGCCAAGCAATCTGTGGCAACAGCCAAAAGCTGCTGTGCAGAAAAGAAATAAATGTGCAGAAATTATATAAATGTGCAAAGTTGGTAGTGACACAGCCCAAAATGCATGGCAGTGAAAGTGCTTTAACAAAATAACAACTTAGAAGGGAAGAATACTGACAAAAAAACTCTACAGCACCCTGCACAGGATCAGTTCAGTTTCCTAAAACCTTGTAATTGACATCCAGGAAAACAAAACTAGAGATTTCCTCTTTAATAAAAAGAGGTTTTTAGAAAAGAACAGTGCAGCAACTCTGATAAAACAAGGAAATTTTATATCATAAGCTAGAGGAAAGCCCCATTATTAACAGTGATGTTAGCACAGATTTAAAAAAAAATTAACTCTTACCATAGACTGCAAGGGTTTGCCATTGTAGTTAAAGTGCCTCTCCACATAATCTGAAGACAGCAGGTGACTGAAGGCAGAGGAGAGATAAACATTATTATCTGTAGCAAGATCAGAAAAATGTAATCTGGGATATCTTACACTAAAGGTTCTCCCTTCAAATGTATTCCACACAGGATTACTAGACCTATTAGCATGTTTTGCTATTAAAATGAGTGTGTGTGCCTGTAAGAGTGCCACATTGGTATTCCCCATCTTGTCGTGTAACATAATAGAGGCGCTAAGTGCATTTGTGCATGAGCAGAGAAAATGCTAATGAGAACAGATGCAGCAGATCATGAGTGCTCACTAATACGAGGAAAGATGGAATAAAAACGAATCTGATGATACTAACTGGTTTAGTTCTAGGTCAAGAGTGAAGGTGTGTCCGAAGGCTTCGACTTGAAAACAGCTCAGGGCCAGGTGGACAGGCTGAGGACAGAATCAGATAAATATAACTCAGACAGATGGCGATAAAAAACATTGCGGTCAAGTGTGTCACTTAGTTAAAGCTATACTTATTCTGTCATGAATAATTCAACGGGATCAATACGCCTTAAAAGCATCTCAGGTGCTGATAAATCACAAAGACTGATAAAGGACTTATTGATTGACATAGGCTGTTTGATATTTGCTGCAGCTTTGTGAGGTGAATGATAGAGGGGGCTTGACAGAAGGGAAGGAAGTGAGGAAGACAGAACTACATGTTGATTGTCTATAATCAGTCAAGCTGTGCCGATGTCCCCAGTGGATGGCTGCCAGCTTCCTGGAAGTGAGGAGACAGTAGGGCCGAAATAGACAGAGAGATCTACTACCGACTAAGCAGTTCTGACTGTGCCAACCTGGCTTTGATTTCCGTCTAGAGGAACAGGGTCCCAGTGAATCATTGGGCTTTTACGATGAAATTCATCACTGTCCACAAATCATTCCCTTCAGTGAGTACATATTTCTCACCACTGTCTTGGAGAGCCTGAAGTATTGCACACGTTCTGTTATCATCACGATAGAGTAACATTGCTCCACACTCTCATCTAGAGTGAATCTCTGACAGTGTTGTCTGACAGGACAGTTCAATCATTTCGCCCATTTTTGGTCATCACTTTATTGCTTTTATCGGAAAAACACGATTTATAAGTGGATGAAGTTTTAGATGTTCAGAAAGTGTTTCTTGTCCAGGCATTGCTAGGGCATCTCATCATAATAAATGTTATTTGTAAAGGTATGGATCAATTACAAAAGATTTCAGGGTTTTGTTTCGTCAGTCTTTATGTGAAAACAGTTTAAATGCTGGCAATCAGCTGATCTCTTCTGGATCTCAGAACTCTACATACCCAAATTAAAATACTGCCGTTTGTCTATTTAAAATTAGAACAAGATGCAACTTTTTTCATATTCAATGGGACAAATTTCCTGCAAAATTCAAATGTAAAAACAAACAAATATAAGACGGAATGAACACACAGTGACCACACCCTTAAAACTTATACAGGAGCCGCCTCCACCTCCTGAGGAGACTCAGATCTTTTGGAGTGTGCAGGCCAAGGGCGTAGGTTTGATCTCAACTTTGGTAGGGACACTATTGGTCTTAAGTTGAATTGTTCTGATGTCATTGGTCCTACTCATTATGCATGCTCCTATTTTTTTAATGCTTGATGTGAGCATCAGGGCACATTTCATTTAAAGAGAAAACAGCATTTTTTGCTACATTTATACAAACTTTATAAGCACTACACACACAATATGCTGTTTATCAATGTTTGAAGCATCAGTGGCTCAGAATAATGTAAAATTGGGACAACTTAACACTTTGAAAAGAGTAACATTTGAACTTACCACTGACTAAGACAGAAGATAAATATGTGCCTTTTAACCAAAAATAGACTAAATATGTCTGTTGTTTATGTATTTATCGGGTGTTTTCTTTTGAAGAAATAGAATTGTGCAGCGGCAAACAGAGGTAAAACCCACTCTTATTTTTATTTTTTATCTGATATGCTGATATTCTCTGTATTGTAAAACAAAGCAAAATAACATATTCAAGGGACTGCAAATAGATTTATTGTATTTTCGTGGATGCGGGAACTATAAGAGGAACTGACACTGAGAATTTAAAATATTAACTTCAATATACAAGTTGCGAGAAAAGAAGCCCCTGCTGCAACAACACTGTATTGTAAATTATAAACATGTTATTCACATGGAATTATTGGTAGGGACAAGTAGGTCGGGCCAAAAGTTTGATAGGGACATATCCCTATGGTCCCTATGCAAACCGACGCCCATGGTGCAGGCCCTTGCTTAAAACCTTCTGACTCTGTGGGGCTATCAGCCCTCCTCCACGCTGTTGTCTGCTGGGCTCCTGGCAACCGGGGGGAGAAAGAAAGAACTGAACAAACAGGTGAGAAAGGCTGTTTCTGTCCAAGGCGGCACTCTAGACTCAGTGGAGGAATTGGCTCAGAGGAGGATGCTGCCCAAGCTTACATGCATCATGGACATCACCTTCCACCCTCTGCACCAGACTGTAGAGGAGCTGAGCAGCTCCTTTAGTGAAAAACTTTTAAACCCTGTTTGTAGACAGGAGCGCTACCGCAGGTCATTCATCCCTGCTGCCACCAGACTCTAAAATGCTACACTATAACAGCAATAACCTGAGCAATGTATGATGTCCAATTTACCATTTGATACCGTGTGCAATAACTGTCTCTATGTATTTGATACCCATTGCAATAACTATACATATAAATATATATATGTATCCATCTATATAAATACCCATATAAACTCCCCATGCAATGACACGGTATAGTGATCCTACTATAAAAAAAATTTACTGTATATACTGTAGATATCCCATGCAGCTTTTTCCTCCTTTGGCACCTTCTTCTTCTTTGACTATTTGAATTGATGTAACAAGCAGAGATGGCAAAAGTACTCACTTTCCGTACTTGAGTAAAAGTACAGATAATTGTGTTAAATACTTTGGTAAAAGTGGAAGTACTGATTAAACTTCTTTAGTCAAGTAAAAGTAACAAAGTACAGGCTTGTAAATTTACTTAAAGTATAAAAGTAAAAGTAGAAACCACTTTTTTCATGCCGTTGCCTACATTTTAAATGGATGTCTGCCAATAGGACTAGATCTCTGTTGTGTTCATTTTTAATCATCTCGTCGTCCATGCTACTATGCTAACGCCACCGCCACCAAGCTGCAATGATTTGAATACCGCCAAATCTGTCGATTCATCTTGTAGTGGTGCGTCAAATGCAACATAGATTTCCATCCAATTAGATTGAATTTGGTATTGATGACGTGAAAAATAATAACAGTAACTCCATTAAAATGATTCAAAACTAAAGTAACGAGCCAATTTTTTAAAATGTAAGGAGTAGAAAGTACAGATATTTGTGTAAAAATGTAAGGAGTAGAAGTAAAAAGTCGCCATAAAAATAAGTAGTAAAGTAAAGTAAAAATATCAGAAAAATCTACTTGAGTACAGTAACGAAGTATTTGTACTTCGTTACTTCCCATCTCTGGTAACAAGTAAATGTCTCCACTGTGAGATCAATAAAGTCAATCAATCAATCTATACTTTGTTTTGATTTAATCTCAATATTAAGTCTTGTTTATTTGCCGTTTATCAGCATCTTTACCAAACAAGAGTTAACCAAATCTTACGTACTGTGAGGACATATCTTGTCCAAATGCTTCTACAGGTGACATAACATCCTTTCTTTTCAGGGTTTGTTTGGAGGTTTTTGTGAGGACCCAAATGCAGAGGCTGAGAGGCAGGGGTGAGTTCTTTGATGATTGAATGGGATAACAAAGGTAACAAAAACAGGTATCCAATAATCCAACATAAAAATTAAACACTAACCAGAACATTGGAGACATCAGGGGAAAACTATCACAAGGAGCCAGGGTGAGGCAAAGTAAGACGAGGAACCAGCACTGGGGGACTGCAGTGGGAGTGTATTTATGGCTGATTGAACAAAGGATGGACTAACGAGCTGATAAAGAGCAGGTGTGATCAGAGCTGACGAGGAAGCCAAGGGAAAAGGAAACACAAGGGGGCAACAGAGGACAAGGAAAGAAAAACCTAAGAAATTTAAATAAATCCAGAACACACCAATACAACTAGAAAACAAAGAAAAACCTGGATAAACATGAAACTGAAAACTTAGAGAAAACCAACAGAACCAAGATTGTTACTTTTCTATCAAATTCAGCTCTGGACTTGCACTTCCAGAGCTCTACATTTTCTCCCATAATGTTTTGCATTTGTGGAAACAGATGTCCTTAGCTGACTTTAAGTGATACTTAAAAAAAATGTATTATCTCAGAGACAACTGATGGGTTTTGACCTACTTTGGTAACAAAAAAGCAGGGTCCAAAAGCAATCCCAAAGCACTATGCTGCTGCCACCTAGATTCACTAAGCATGGTTCTATTTTGCCGGAGGTCAGGCCCATAGGAACTCTCTGTCCCCCCAAAAACCATCCCCTTTAAACATGTTTAAGATCAGACATTGATTTTTTTTTTTACCCTAAACTTTAAGGTTATTTAATCAGACAACAAAACACTGTCCTACAAGGTTTTGCTATATTTATGGTGGCCTGGATGTTTTCTTTGGAAGTAAATGGTGAAAGGTGAGAGCAGCAGAGGGTGCCAAAAAACTTTTTTTTGCAGCATGTGCTATAGGTGGATTTATAAAAGAATGAGGACGACACGTGACCCAGCAGTAAGACTGAGGTCAGAGAAGCTAACAAGCAGATAAAGGAACGAGACGTTAGCACTTGTAGAAAACGCAATGTCAAAAATAACCATCTCATTTTTTGTCACATAAGGTCAATTTTACTCAAGTATTATGTTAAAATGATTTTAAAATGCATAAAAATGATAGATTTTTTGCACCAATGTGATACACATCTTGGCTGCCATTGGTGGCAGTTGTGCAATTTAAGTTAATTTCATGGATTTAATTTACAAAGATAAAAATTAAAAATAAATCCACTATGTGTTGGGAGAAAAACACCATGTGTTTGTTTTTGTTAACTTAGATGGTCTCAGCATACAGCTTATAAAAATCCAGAATTTCAGTCGATTAATCTTTTACATAATTTGAATATTAGAAAGTATGTAGGCTACTACTTTAAAGCATGTCCAAGTATTGCTCACTTTATGCATGTGGTATTGTCTAGGTCTCGTTTTGTAAGACGTACTGCATCAATGCAAACACGGCTCATAACCACTTATACAAAAGATATCCCCAATAAACTTGCAAATATGAGCTAACTTTAAGCTTCCTCAGGTCTTTCTTAAATCCCTTGTGGAGACAGTGATATACCACACAGCTAAAATGACCTGTGGAGTAGCACTATGCCTAAAATCTTGTCTGAAGTTTTCCCACACTCAATTAGAGATTATTCATTAAAGCGATCCTGTCATTGGCCGAGAGACTCCTTGAACATCCATCCATCCATTTTCTTACACGCTTATCCCAAGTGGAGTCACGAGGGGTGCTGGTCAAGCTGTCTACGGGCGAGAGGCAGGGTACACCCTGGACAGGTCGCCAGTCCATCGCAGGGCAACACAGACACATATACAACCATTCACATACACACTCACACCTAAGGGGACTTTAGAGAAGCCAATTAACCTAACAGTCATGTTTTTGGACTGTGGGAGGAAGCCAGAGTACCCGGAGAAAACCCACACACGCTCAGGGAGAACATGCAAACTCCATGCAGAAAGACCCCGGGCCAGGAAACCAACCCAGAACCTTCTTGCTGCAAGGCAGCAGTGCTACACACTGCTCCACTGAACAATCCTCGAACATAAATGAGAAATCATATTTTGTTATTCTTCTGTTTGGTAGTGATTTTGTAATCTTGATTAAACTAGTGACCCCTGCAGCTAGCTGGTAGCACAAACCATACATCTTCACCCCATCACTCCAGCTTGCCGCTTTACATGTCAGCCAATTGGGGATCATATCTACCTTACAGTACTTATCCAGTTAGGGGCAATTTGACTTCTGTTTCCCATCACTGCATCAGCTCTTTCAATACAAATAAGAGAAAAACAAAAAGATGCCTTTATCTCCCCTTGAAGTGTGAAAGGGTTTCTACTGAACTGTTAAGGAAACCCCTGTACATGTAATTGTGACCTTTAGCTTTTCTGCTTTGCTGGGTCTAGTATCTCACATCCTCTTTTTGACATAAAATACTCCACATATATATTCAGTGGAGGTTTGTGTCGGTCAGTTTGAAGCCCATTTAGGTAAATTAATTCCAACACCATTTGTGGTAATTTTGGTAGCACCTCGTCCTGTTAGAAATTAAATCAAGATCTCAGTAAAGTTTTTCATCATAAAGGGTTCTAAGATTTATTGGAACCCAGCTCTTGCTGAGAACTTAAACTGTACCTTAAGTCACTTTGATTCTGTTTCTCTACATTCATCCTTCAGGTCTCAGACTATGATTTCAAATAAAGAAGAATACTTTAACCTGTCAAATAGGACTTTAAATGAATGAGCGTGAACAAGCATCCCAGTCCCCTTTTTCTCCATATTGATTGCTTGTGCACCAAGCTCTTTCACAGATTTTTACCACTTACATGTTGACAATATGCTTGGAAGAAGTACCTTTATAAACAAACAGCTTTTTTTGCTTTTTCAGAAGTAACTAAACTTATTAAACTAATATTAAACTTACTAAAACTATTTCCTGTCAGTGATATTCCCCAAAATATGACCACCAAAAGTCTGTATCAAAAAATATGTTAATTGTTATATGCAGCATTATTATCTTCAAAGAAACGAACTGTTACATTTTAATTACCTTTCAGCTATATTAATTGAAATTAAGAAATATAAAATGCTGAAATATGTAGAAAAAAAATACTGTGTGGGTTATTTTTTAGTTTGATTTACTGAAATTAACTTTCAATGATATGATTTGCCCAGAGGACACCTCAATTTACCATATTTTTCTGAAAAAATTTATATCCTGACATTGTTTAGTGTAACTATATGTAGCTCATAGAGAAAATCGGCAATGTTTAGATAATGATGAAAAACTCATGCCTTCGGAAAGCTTTTAATAAGTCTAAGCAATGTGTTTATGTCACTGAATTGTTCTAATTTTTGGTACTTAGTTTATTTCCTTAATGCCATATTGCTTCAAGATATTCATCTTAGAAAATGGAAAGTTTATATAAATATAACCAGCTTATATTTGACATCACAAAAAACAGAAAAGGGTTCAGATCATCTTCAAACCCTGCTACGTCTAAATATATCAGTGCGCAATCATCTTCAATGTTCCCAAACATAAAACGCAGCATTTCCTGGAAACTAATTACCCGTTGTTTTGAACTGGGATTATTTTTGTTAACCGGATGTTTTCATTTATTAGTGCTGTCGAGGAACTGTAACTTTGTTTTTGTTTTTTTTGTGGCTCTTTCTCTGTTGGATAGAAAAAATCTGAAAACATGAACAAAATAGGGAGTGTTTGAATCCTCCTGCACCATGCAGCACTTCTCAACAGGAGTGTTTCATATTTGATGAGGGCATATTTCCACACACCACTGAATAATAAAAAAGGCAGGGAGGGGCTCAGCACGGTAATGAACGTGACGTCTGAATATTTAATTAAGGGTCATGTGGAGACCCTTAGACATAGATATATAGATATATATCTAAGTCTATACATATATATATACCATATATAGTCTGTCTTCATTCAGTCTAAGAGAGTTTCTGTTATAGATGGTGTGCAGCAACAGGGTTAAAACTGAAAAAAGTGAATCCAGTACATTCAGTCCATCTGGGATGCTTTTGTTTTAATGAGATCCAGTTCTAATTTAGTAGGAAGCTTCCTTGTCAAGCATACTTGGGTATCCCTGGTTTCTAAATTAACCCTGCAGGCTGAGAAACGGCAGAACGAATATAGAAGACAATGAATCTGAGAGGTGACTTACCAAGCTGCCCCCACTGCTATTCTTTACCCTGGTATCCAAGAAGCCATGAGCCATTTCCTCCTCTGACTTGATCTGCTGCACCAGGCGTTTGGGATAGGTGATCTCAGTGTCCCCATTATCCTGCTGGCCTGAGGGGGCAAACCAGTCCCACAAACCTCCACCTGCACCTGGAAAAGAACATCAGATCCCAAAAACATGTCCCGATGTTCCTAATAAGCATAAAGCATATTCTTTATAAGTGATGACCTAATTTAGCACACTGTGTGCTTAATGGCTGCTATTTTAAGACATTTATAGCATACAAAAAGTGTTTTAATGGATGTGGATAATGCAACTCATTGGTGAGGGCGACTCTCATAAAAACATAGGGCCTGTTTGAATGTAAAAGATGGTTATCAGACAGCAAATTATTTGTGCTTTCATATTTTAAGTGTAGGAAACAACTTGAGGTGATGTGTTTTATAGCAGGTGGAGAAATATGTTGATGCAGCAAATCTAGGGGGTGGTCAGTGAGCTATTTCAGCAACAGTAAAATCCCGGGCTAGAAAAGAAAGTCATGCTCAATGGCAAAAAAAAAATAAAAAATATGCAAAGGTAATGCAAAGGGTGCTCCCCCTCTCAACCCCCCCTCCCATCTCACCTCCCTCTCGCTTACCTGCCACCGCAAGCCTCTCGCCCACTGCACCAAAGACCATGAAGCACCACACCACCAGCATGATCTTCACATATTCCCCCTGATTACCGCATTGAGAACCCCGCCAAACTTCAACAACCCCCCGGCAGGTGGAGAGGAGGACAAAGATCCAAAAACGCACAGCAGAGATGATGGCGAGGATCCAAAGTTAATCTGCTAAACATCTGATGATGCGCGTCCTCTCATCTCTCCCTCCTCTCTACCTCTCGCCCTCTCAGCTCCGACCAGCGCCGCAACGGAAAGTCAGAATTTGCATATCAAAAAGAAGAACCATGAATCGATCCGGGCCTACAGACTGATCGGTGATGGGATCGGCGAGGAAGGAGAGAGCGCGCATCGCGGACGCATCGCTCCGCAGCGCTGCAAGGATGCGTAGTAGGCTCTGGGTGTAAGGCAGGAGCTGTGTATGTGTGTGTGCGGTATGCGGAAACGGAGGGATGGGAAAGCGAGCGGGTCTGCGGCGAGGAGGACACGTGGGGCCGCGGTACCCTCCCTCATCCCGCGCAGCCTCCTCCTCCCGTTGCCATGCAGCGCTGCGCAGGAAGAGGATGCGGCAGTCCGTCGGATGAAGAGCACGCCCGGCCGAAACAGAAGGAAGGAGATCAGCGAATGACAGGTTGATTCCGTTTGTCAGTGCGAGGCTATAAGCAGGAGGGGGAAAAGATATTTAATCTGCGCTTTGGAAAAGGTTTCAGGTCTGCAGAGGATTAAGGTGTGTCCTGTCAGCCAAAAACAACCCTGACTCATTGCTGTCACTTTGTTTCTTTGTTAACAGGCTGATTTGATGACAGCTGATTTTACTTTTTCCTACCAATATTACATAAAATTTTCTTTTCTTTAACATAAATGATCAAAGCTGCACACAAATATAAGGAGGATGGCTGACAGTTGGTTACATAGTCACCAGTACCTTCAACATGAACAGAGTGAGGCCCAAAATGTCAAAGGAGCCTGCTGTTCACAGAGAATTACATCCAAACTTAATGGAAAGTATGTTGTAAGTAAAAAGAAGAGCACCCACGAGCGGATTCTGTTCCTGGACTTCAGTTTTGCTTTAAACACCATCATCCCACAGCATCTGATGGGCAAACTGGAACAGCTGGGCTTCAATACACCCCTCTGCAACTGGCTGCTTGACAGAACGCCTCTGATGTCATCATCCTAAGCACAGGCTCCCCTCAGGGCTGCGTCCTGACCCCCCTGCTGTTCACCCTGATGACATATGACTGCGTCCCCAGGTTCACCAACAATCACATGGTGATTGAAGCCACGGTGGTGGGCCTCATCGGAGACGACAACGACCAGAACTACAGAGAGGAGGTGGAGCAGCTGGTGGACTGGTGCAAAGATAACAGCCTGATCCTGAATGCGGAGAAGACGAAGGAGATCATCTTGGACTTCTGGAAGAACCGTCCTAACCACGCTCCACTGGTCATCAACAGCTCAGCTGTAGAGGTGGTCAACAGCACCAAATTCCTGGGGGTGAACATCACAGACACCCTCACCTGGAATGTAAAAAACACCACCTCACTGGTCAAAAGGGCGCAGAAGCACATGTACTTCCTGCAAAGGATGAGGAGACCTGCCCTCATCCATCCTCACCACCTTCTACAGAAGCACCATAGAGAGCGTTCTGACCAGCTGTCTCACTGTGTGGTGTGGAGGCTGCAGCGCCTGAGACTGGAAGAAGGTGAGAAGAGTTGTGAAACAGCAGAGAAGATCATCAGGGCTCCTCTTCCCTCCATTAAAGACATTTCATCAAAGCGCTGCAAGTTTCGGGCTTGTAACATCATAATTGACCCCCCACCATGGACTGTTCTCCATGCTGCCCTCTGAAAAGACACTTCGAAGCATCCGATGCAGGACCAGCAGATTCCAGAACAGTTTCTTCCCCACAGCCATTAGGCTGCTTATTGTCATGTAAAATGGGTTATTTTATTGTATTTCATTGTATCTATTTTATTTTAATGTTTAAAAAAACTAAACTGAAATGTAAGAACTGTAAATATACAGTCATATGTTTATATTACTGTTTTATGTATTTTCAAGGCTGCACTTTAAAAAATGAAATTGTCTAGAGAGCTGTTCTTAACGAAATTCCTTTTTGATTGTGTAAACAAAATTACAAAAAATTACACTGTTGCTGAGTTGTTGAAAGTGAAGTATTTTCATAGTCAGAGATGATTTAGGGAGCCATGTTACTTCTGTTGTTTCACTATTTGTCATATTCAATGTCAGCAAAGCTGTTTAACTGAAAGAAAAATATCAGAATACTTTTATTTTTTTCTAACAAACATTTTGGAGATGCTGATTTAATTTTCCAGTTGAACTTTGAACCGACATACACCACAAAAAGTACAAATACCTGCTTCACTCATTATGGTGCCAGTAGTGAAAGGAGGTCACATCACTGTTACTATACAGACTACACAATAGTGACTTGGAGTGCGATAATCCAAAGGAACTACTGTGTAATCTTTCCTTAGCTCTCTATGGTGCAGATATTTTATATCTAAAGCAGAGATGGCAAAAGTACTCACTTTCTGTACTTGAGTAAAAGTACAGATACTTGTGTTAAAAAAAACTCTGGTAAAACTGGAAGTACTGATTAAACTTCTTTACTCAAGTAAAAGTAACAAATTACAGGCTTGTAAATTTACTTAAAGTATAAAAGTAAAAGTAGAAACCACTTTTTTCATGCCGTTGCCTACATTTTAAATGGATGTCTGCCAATAGGACTAGATCTCCGTTGTGTTCATTTTCAATCATCTCGTCGTCCATACTACTATGCTAACGCCACCGCCACCAAGCTGTCGATTCATCTTGTAGTGGTGCGTCAAATGCAACGTAGATTCCCATCCAATTAGATTGAATTTGGTATTGATGACGTGAAAAATAATAACGGTAACTCCATTGAAATGATTCAAAACTAAAGTAACGAGCCAATAGAAAGTACTGATATTTGTGTAAAAATGTAAGGAGTAGAAGTAAAAAGTCGCCATAAAAATAAGTAGTAAAGTAAAAATATCAGAAAAATCTACTTAAGTACAGTAACGAAGTATTTGTACTTCGTTACTTCCCATCTCTGATCTAAAGGGAACATATTCCAGGACATTACAACTTCTTTATGCTCTCTTGTACTATATACACTATTTTTATATATTGTGTTATTATATATTTTTTTTATCTTTAATGGCATCTTGCTTTAACTCTACCCTTTGTACTCTATTCAAGTTCCAAAAAAGTAAAAAAAAAACGTTTCACTTCCCATCCAGTAATCTCTTTCAATTCAAAATGTTAGAATTAGGATTGAGTTCAAGGCTTTTCCAACGCTATTTCTGATATTTTGAATTAAAAAAGTTTCCTGGATGGGAAGTGAAACATTTTCAAACTTGGAAACAAAGTCCAGTGGATTGTTTCTTTTTTATTTTTTATTTTGGAATGACTATAACCTGGAACCAGCATTCTCTTTATAAGCTACTGGGACCAGAATTTCCCTGAAGGAATAATCCCAAGGGATAAATAAAGTTGAGTCTTCTACAGTAACATTTCACAGTGAGCAGAAAACAACCACACATTCCTCAGGATTTCTGCGCTTAGCCAGCAGTTTGATTGATACCTGTGGAAGAACTCATGAATCAGAAGAGCTTCATGTTGACGTCTCAGCCCTGAATTTTTTTTCTACTGTGAATTTTTTCAAGCACTCTTTCTAAACATACCCACTAATGGAGCATCATTGTGCCCTGCCTGCCCCCTCTGAATATTTCATTTACCCCCTTCTGAGAGAAAGACAGAAGACAGACATGCTGAAGGATGGCAGCAAAGCAAATTCGAGGACAAAGACATTATTTATCATTCTAGGAAATTCAGCTTACGTTTTAAATATTTCAGCTCCATGACTCAAGATGTATATTTTAATAAACTAGAATTCCCTTTGGGAATAACTGGAATATTAGATGAAAAAGGAAGATAAGCTTTAAATATATATTGTTTTTTTTTTTTTTTACTTTAATATGAACATATACACAGCAAATTCAATTCAAAATAAAATAGGACAATTGGTTCAGAAATAATCCAAGAAAATTGAGAATTAAATATAGTTTGAAACACCCAATGTCTCATTATTTCTTACAAAGTCAAATATTTACTGTATAATAAAAAAAAAATGCTTGAACAGAGAAGTGCTTCAACATGATCGGGTTGTAGTCTGCAAATCTTTTGTTTACCAAACATGTCTGATGCCAGCCCACATGTTTTCTGGTGACCCTATCATGTTCATCATCCTGTTGGTCTGAAGTCAGGATGCTGCTTGTTTAACGGTCTGTTGATAAAAACAGGCTTTTGGAATAAATTTATGTTTTCCCTAATTCATAAAAGCAGTTCAGCAAAGTAAAGACAGGTTCAACCATCAGGTTTTTGCACAGAAACTGGACATTTGATTTCAATTTCAATTTGTTCTCAGAGAAGATATATTAAATCTAAATGAATAAAAACAAAGTAATGGCTTTGGATTTGATCAAATGTATGTGGGACTTCAGCAGCAGAAAACATGGCTCCTAAAACGTCACTTACTGGATTCTATATGTTGACCTAAACCACCTTGAATTCTGTGTCATGGCACTTTTTTTTTTCCACACTCCAGGATTTATTTATGGAGCTTAGGCAGAAGTTCAACTGAAGAAACTGATTGCTTTTCATACATCCACCTGCAACTGTGACTTCATTCAGATGACACCGTTGCAACCCACCTCCATCCCACCTCCACCATCGTAGCTAAAGCTTCATCAGAGAGTCATTCCTCCCGGACTCTCACTGCGTTCCCTGTCGCATTTCAACCTGTCCGGTAAAAGACAACCATGTTAAGCCTGGTTCTTCCAGAGGTTTCTTCCCAACGGGGAGTTTTTCCTCTCCACTGTTGCTTCATGCTTGCTCATTATGGACAGGTTCTCTTAACCTGTGTTATCCAACTGGACTTCCATCTTCCAGGTCCCTCAGTGAAGCTCTAGTATCAGCTCACGCAGTCCACTGGATCTCCCCATAAAGCTCAGCAGACCGTCTCGCTAACCAGCAGTCTACAGACTGACCAACTTCACCAGTTTCAGGCCTGGGGGGGAAACAGCCCTATTCTTTGCTCCTGTTCATGCATATCTATCAAAGTTAAGTGCTATGTTTCCTGCTGAGGTCTGAGTGCCAAAGACAAAGTATCAATACATTTCTTCTTATTGTCTTGATTGAAATGCAACGTCTGCAGTCAGTTTCCTGGATACGTGTGNAAATGCAACGTCTGCAGTCAGTTTCCTGGATACGTGTGCATTGTTCTTGAAGCCTTCGCTCAAACTTTTAATTGAGTTTATTTTCACAACACTGTGAAGGCTGATGCTGTCCCTTTTCCTTGTGCAGCTTTCACAAAACACATTTTCCTGCCCCTCCGCCTCTAAAATGTTTACATAAAACTATAAAAAAAATGTTAATCCTATTAAAAAGTATGTATCACAATAGAAACTAATAAATATTTGGATATCGTCTAGTGAGTTTTATAACTGCTCAAATTATTTGCTTCTTATTTTTGTAACTGGTACTTTTATTTATACATAAAATGATGTTTTTTGCTATAAAGTTCATGTTTTCTTTGTTTTTGTGTTTTTCCACTTGGATTCCAACTTTTATTTTTAATTCTTCTTCTAATTCTAACGTGATGTAAACCTCCATGTGTAATGAAAAAGATTAGTTGTTTCATTTTTTACCATATTTTGATCAACTCTAATGTTCAGGTAACTAATTATATCCAAGTTACCAACAATGGTAAATTAGATACAAACACCACTTTGCAGCACAAAAGGAAAAATCTTAGGTCAGCTGCGGTCTGTAGGGTTCTCCTCTGTTTTAAATCTATTACTGCTTCATCAACAAACATCAATAATGTAATGTTGGTTCTTGGGTGACTGTAAATCAGATTTCTTTTAAGTTATAAGTTAAATGAAAACGTTAAAGCTTAAAAGCCACATTGAAGTTAAAAAGTAAAAATAAAAATTGCTGTATCAGCATTAATGTTTTGCTAATCATATTCTGTTTTTTAAATTCATTTATTATAGAAGCACTCTTTGTTTTTGTTTTTCCCCATATTATGGCAAATGACTGCTTTGGTGTTTACACTAACCTTGATTTTGGTTATGAAATTGCTTTGGTCGTATGTAGCAAAAGTAATAATCTCTTGTTCTTTCCTTTAATAGCAAAAGTGACTTGAAATTTAGAATTTCAAAGTATTTCACTAAGTGCCTTATAAAGGGTTTACAGAAATTTACTTTAGAAAATGGTAAAACCATACTGCCCTCTTGCGTTCATATAGCCACATTGCACGTGCAGTTAGTGGGATGGTTGGGTCTGTAAGCTAAAAAATAGAGAATGAGTGCACATCTCATCTTGTCTTTTAAACATGACCTCATTAAAAAAGGAAATAAACTTTGTACTTAAAGCTAAGACCCCATTAATGGGTTTGGGAATCTATAAAAAAAAAAAAGAAAAAAAAAAAAAAGTTAATTATACTTTTGTTTTGTGTTGTTTTTGCCAATACCAACCGAGCAGCAGGTGTCTGTGTTGTTCCCAGATATTGAATTCTCAGCAGTTATTACGAGTTACGTCATTTTAATTTTATCTTATTTTATCCGGACTTAGATAATTCACGTTTTAAATTAATGAAGATTTTAAGCAGACTAGAATACAATATGCAGCACTTAGCCAGAGGCGTAACCAGAAAATTTAATAAGGGTGGCCAGGCAATAACCAATGTACACTGAGGGGGGGCCGCAAGCAGACAGATGCCAGAACCTCAGGGTCAATCTACACTGTTCCAACAGGAAAATCACTGAGCACAACATCCATAATGTCTAAATAAAGACAAACTATACTTTACAGCCTTTGCTAACAAATAGATGCATATATTTAAACATCCATGCTGTCTAAATTTAAGGTGGACAAAATTCTTTCAAGTTATTCACTTTCATTAGTTACCTACTTTTATTAATAATCATTCAGTATAAAATTTATATTTACATGTACTAATAGCTACATTAAAAGGATTACTTATTATTGAAGTAGTTATTTATCTCTGATTTCAGTAAAGATTCCTAGATAACTTGCAGATACATGATTTCCTCTTTACCCCAAATAAGATACAATCTAGTTCTGAAAAGAGCATGAATTCCGTATTTATCTTTAATGTTAGTATATTGATTTGCATAATTAACCACAGGGTTTTGTAGTCAGGTAATTGTTTATATATATAAACTTTAAATGTTAAGTATTACTGGTGTCACCGTATTATAGGGAATAAATGGGGTGGCCACAGGGGTGGCCAATGATTGGCTGGTCCCCCAGTCTAGCTCCTCCCCTGCATTTAGCTTAAATTATCACTTTGGAGACTGAACTGTTTCATCAAATCAAAAGGTTTGTTTTCTCTATACCTTTTAATTTTTTTTACTGAGCTCTACTCCTTGTTTGCTCTAGTTTATCATCCTGGTTTAGTCCCAGTTTTACTCCATGTTTTGCTCACAAGTTAAATAATTATTGCTCAGTTTAGTTTAATAATCTCCTGTTGCATTTAGGACTAATTAAACCAACAATAAACTAAGCTCAATTCTTAAAGCTTTCAGGTTTTCCTCTCAAACCCATAGGAGGGCAACAAAAAGAAAAACAACCATTGTATTTTATTTTTCAAAAGATCAGCCAGCCAAGAAAAGCCAACCAACATTCAGAGAGGATGTGCAGAAAAGCTCAGTTATCCAGGATTGATATAAGAGGAACAAGAGGGGTGTTCTCATTTTATTATTACAGATCTTATTCATTTATTCTTATTTTGGTCCATTGAATATGTTTAAAAACTTAATTTCCATCACATCTACCAAAATCAAACATCAACAGAAGTGCTTTCATGATAAGTTTTTATTGAATCTACAGCCTCATAGAAGGTCTGATTTGTTTGGGTGTTTTGTCAATTGTAAAAAAAAAAAAAAACTAATAAGATAATAACTTAAGAGTTTTAAACCTTACCCTATTACCAAATATCATTATTATTTGTTCCGGATTGGTTATGTTACTCGAACTGCATAGAATAATTAATAAACAAGATGTAGGGCCCATACTTCTTTACTTCAGTTCTCTGAAAATGACCAGAATATAGAAAATGATGTATTTTGAGTGAAACATTTTCCACATAACTTCAGATCAATTATTGTTACTCAGTTACATTTACTGTGCTATAAAAATTCAATATTTTATAACTTTGTTTCAGTTAAATCCTCTGAAATCCTCCAACCTATAGCTGCACCTAACCCTGACAGGGTTTCCTGTCCAAACTATTTCAAAATCTCACCCCAAGGTCTGCTGAAAAGTTGGCAGCCCTGCCTTTAGTTTAATTTACCAACTCGTAATATTGTAATAAAAAACAAAATCATGTTCACTTGGTAGCTTACTTTCATCATACTGTTTAGCAGTTTTAATTGTGTTTTTTGTTTTTCTTTTCAGGGGGCATTTCTTTTCTTTTTTATAGCCAGTAATATGCAAAACACTCATATGTGAGAGAAGCGGTATTTATTAGGGTATATGAATAGAATGGGTTTTTGATCGATACATTTAAAATATATAATCCCATGCAATGAAAAATTAATTCATAACTAACCACCATAACTATAGATTTCCATTTTAGAGCAGAAGTCATCTAAAAAAATCTAGACAAGTCATTTATTCTTAAAATGAGTGCATTTGTTCTTGGATTAAGAAGGTAAAAGAGACATTTTACCAATAGAACAAGACAATTTACATTTAAAATAAGAAAACACAATTGCATTGTACATATGATCTAATTATCTTATTTGAAGAGTAAAAACACTCATTCCATTGGCAAACTATCTCATTTACCTACTCAAATTAAGGGTAAATACTTTTAATTTAAGAAATTTGTACTTATTTCTAGATCGCTTTTCCAGTGTAGAAAATTTAGTGTAGTTTAGTTTTGTCCACAGGCACTTAGACTTAGACAACTTTATTGTTATTTATTTTGAAATTTTGTGTATACAGCTGTTGCACAGGCAATGCAATCATATTCTGGTTTATTGCAAAGCATGACATTTATCTCAAAAAGTCAACACATCAAAAATTATTCTTAAATCATTATACCAAAACAAAACTAATAGATGTGAAACATAATGGAGAGAGTAACTTAATTTTGTTAAGACCTCAATGTTTTGTATTTTATCCTAAGGACTTCAGCCTCAGAAATAAAATGTTGGGTTTGATTAACTTACTTCTAGTTTATTTTATAATTGTGGTTAAATATTTCTACTGCTTATAGCTATAAATCATCCCTTAGCAAAAAGTAATATACATGTACTTGAAGTAAATTCTATTAAGAACACTTAAGTATAAGTTTAGAAAGTATACAATGTACTTTGAGTGTACTTGGAAGTATTACTAAAGTAATACTTCTTCAAACTAAATTGGGACATTTTAGAATCAGAATGTGAATCAGGTTTATTGCCATTGTTAGTGAAGGAGTTCACAAACTAGGAATTTTTTATGGTACAATCGTGCAACATGAAACATATGATATGGAATAGGTAAATAAAATTATAAAAATATCTGAAACACTGTGGGTATAAGGCATGCAATAAAATAGACTAATATATACACTTAGGATAAAAATATGGATATAAAATATAAAAAGTAAAATAGCATCTTACAAGGTAGTGCAAATAGAAAATATATTTTTAAGTTTACTTAAGTATACTTAAACTATACTTTAGTAAACAAGAAAGTTAACAATAGTATGGTCAAGTACACTTGACCATACTATTGTTAAGTATATGAAATATAGTTTAGAATAAGTAAACTCTAAGTGCACTGCCTGATTTTTAAATATGAAATTAGTGCATTTTGAGTATACTTGAATAAACTATTTGGTAAGGGATTTATAGTATGCATGTCCATTTTCTTTCAAAATCTCACTCCTAGGTTTGGTGAAAAGTTGGCAGCCCTGCTAATCAATTAAATTAGTTACAGCTGTTGTTACTGCCACTCCTCTGGTCGCTAATTAGTGTTAAGTGTGCTGGGATATTATAAAAAGAGGTGTGGAAACGCGGCGGCCTCCCAGCATCCTGAGGTTGGATCATAGAGAAGAATGAATGGTGTTATCTGTGAGGCCCGATTGTTCAGCTGCAGCAATGCTGATTGTGGGGCCACTTTCTCAAGGGAATGGAAGTTAAAGGAACACGAGACTCTGCACACCGGAGCTGTAAGGCAAACGCTTCAAAATGTGTATAATGAGCTTTAAAGCCATTGTTGTTAACCTGTCTCTCCTCAGCGGCCCTGCCAGTGCGCAGTCCTTGGATGCGGTCGTCGCTTCAAGAGGACATCCCACCTGAAACGCCACTTGGTGCAGCATAAAGGGATTAAACAGTTCCAGTAAGTAAAATTAAACTGAATCAAAACTTTCCAAACCAGGTATCTCATAATTTGTTTCCCAGATGCAAAATGGCAAACTGTGGAAAGATTTTCTTCTTTGCAAACAAGTTGAAAAGGCACACGCACTTCGCACATGGAGACAAAGATGGCTTTTTTAAGGTCTGTATAAACCAAATTCTCCACTAGATGGCGACAAAGTAGCGTTTAGGTGAAAGCCAGTTTAATCGAGCTGTTTTTTTTCCCTGTAGTGCATCCAACCAACCTGCAGTCTGAGCTTCAAGAAGCGCAGAATGTTAAAGCTGCACTTAAAGGAGCATGATGTGCCTGCAGCGTTCAAGTATGTTACGACTTGATGGCATTGTGTAAAGCATGGTGCATGAGCAGAATTTAATGTACAATAGATTGTCCTCTGTTTTTTCTGCCTTTGTACTATTTCTGGGTGTAGTTGTACCAAGGATGGATGTACTGAAACATTCAGCTCCCACATCGCACGCAAAGCCCATGAAAAGAAGCATGCAGGTTTGTTTCCAATGATTGTTGGGTTTTGGTCTGGAAGGGGTAGCTGTAAAATTTTGAACAGAAGAAAGCTTTTGGTTTCTTAAGTTGTCTCAGAGGGGAAGAAGGAAATGCATTTTTTAACTCAACGTTGCAATTTGTTTTTGCATCTGCAGGTTACCTCTGCCCTCATGAAGGCTGCCAGGTGCTTGAACACACCTGGGGAAAACTTCAAAAACACATGGCCAAACATCCAGGTAGGTAGAAATGGGTCATATGGCTGGCTGAAGACTGAGGGCATCAGAATTGGATGGAAAGGGGCAAATTTGCTCACCAGCCACCACTGATATTTTAATATTTTAACTGCCAACCATTAATGAGCAGTTGGAACAGATCAGACAGTAAATTGCAGCAAAATCTGAAGCAGTCTAATGGTGGTTAAACTAATCAGTAGTGATTCTGCAAAGAGGGGCCAGGTTTGACTGGCAGTTACTGGGTAAATTTTAAATTAGCAGATTGTCTGCATAACATTTTAGAGTGACTTGGTTTGTTTAATAATGCAAACTGTTTTTGTTTTCTTGCATTACTAGCTACTTGTATATTATAGAACTGTCTTGGTGCTGAAGTGCACCAGGATTTCCAATTAGAAGGAATCAAAACAGTCCTTGAATGTGTGAAATATTTATAGCATATTTTAAAACGGGCTTAATCTGTATAAGCTGACAAACTGAAGGTTTTAATATTTCTGTTCCTTAAAGGTGCTTTCTAGAAACCCTATGTACTGCATAGTTTTTCTTAAGTTTAACACCTCTGTTTTACAGCTACTGTTACCTGCCCAGTCTGCAAAAAGGAGTTTAAGAAGGGTGCTGCTCTGCAGAGGCACAAACGGTCCCACGCTTCCCACAAGCCGGTGCTCATGTGTCCCAAAGAAAACTGCCAGGCCTACTTCTCCACAACCTTTAACTTGGAGCACCACATTCGCAAGGTGCATCTGCAGTTGTTGAAATACAAGTGTTCCTTCCCTGACTGCCCCCGGATGTTTGCTATGAGGGTGAGTATTGGACGGCTCGAGAAAATGTTTTGTGTGAATAGTTGACAGAAACGAAACGTTTGCTCTTCTGCAGGAGAGCATGCAGAGGCACCTTCTTCAGCATGACACCACTGCCGCAAAGCTGGGGGTAACTTCCTACAAAATAACATTATTTTCTTTAAGAATTCAGTCGTTTAAACTTATTATCCCAACAGAAACGAAAGAGACTAAAGAAAACCTGGCAGAAGCGCTTGAATGGAAACGATCATCCGCTGGTGGAGGATAACCTGGGACGTCTCTTTACCCTCCGCATGCGGATCTCCAGACGTGCCAAAGTGGAAACCAACCTTTCAGGCCTGTTCAGTGAACGGAAGATCCCTCACTATGTAGATCCAGAAGTCAACTTGCGCGGCTTGTTTGGGATTAAGCAGCCGCGTCCTTTGGAGATGCCAGAGGTTGCATCGGTGAAAAGTTGAAAAATGCATTGATGGCTGTATTTTGTTTTCCTACATTTATATAAGATTGGGTCACTTTAATTTATTTATTTGAATTTGATGGAAAATAACAAGGAAACTAATTTACTTTTTAAGGTTTTTTTTTTTTTTTTTTTAGGAAACTAATTTACTTTTTAAGGTTTTTTTTTTTTTTTTTTGCATGATTACCCAATAAATTAAGTTTAACAGCAAGTTAAACTGGCAGTCTGGATTTTCTTCTATGGTCTAACGCGATAACCCGCCTCTTAAATGCAATGGAAAGCATCTTGACAGAGGCCCACTCACACAGCTGCTCTCCTCCTGCTGCCCTTGTGTGTCTGCCTTGGCTTCATGTTAGTGCTCCATAGCAAAGAACAAAACTGCATGAGTAATTGCTGAATCACAGTAACTTGGGGGTGGATCAGATTAGAACAAAGTCTACAGATTTACACAAAGGTTTCAAAACTGCTGTTCTACAAGTTTTCTTAGTCAGTAGAGGTAGGCATTTCATTTCCGCTCTTGGTTTATGTGCAGTTCAACTTTAGAAGTTAAGAATCTTAGTCATAAAGATTTTTAACGTCAAGGTTTTTCTTGATGCACGATGAAACTATTCTATAGCCATTCATCACATCCATTACTGTAAAAACATCCACAGCCGTTTACTCTGCAGATGCATTTATATTAAAAATGGTACATTATTTGTTAAATGTTCTGTTTTATACACTTTCTAAGGTTTACATTGTGACCACTTCTGCTATAACCTTTTGCTGCTGTAACACAATTTCCCCATTCTGGGACAAAAGGATTTTCTATTCTAAACTAAAGCAATTAAAATGCAGTTTGGTTTTAAAGGCCACATTTAGATTCAAATATTTTTTTCCCTTGTAATTTTGCAATTGGTTTTGAAACATTAAGGCTCAAAATGCATTTCTAAAATTAAAGCTGACCTGTAATGTTCCTTGGCAGGAAAAAGTGCATTTATGGGTGAATAGGTCCTTGTTCCAGTGTCTGTAAAACTCGTTATCCTGGATCAGGAAGCTGGTTGAGCCGTTTCTAAGGTGCAAATGCCTTCCAGGTAAAGTTTAATGGCTTTACTTTTCCTTCACTTTGAAGGTAGATTTTCCCAATTTTTAAGCCTCACTGCTGATCTACCTTCATGCCCTTTGTGTTGACTTGCAAACACTGACTTGCTTGTTTTTTGAGCCTAAGCTTTTATTTGCACTTACTCTCGGCTAGCTGCAGCTGTTAGTCTCTGAATCATCTCCAGTGTCTTGGCTGTTCTAGCTGGAAAGCTTTCCAACAAATCAAAGATAAAAGCCTCGGAATACCTTTTTAAAAAAATGTCAAAATCACTGTGCACAGTGGATTTCAGTCAAATGCAACGAAAAGCTTGAGATTTCAAACTGAAATGTAGTTTAAACATATTTTGATATTGGAAAAGCTAATCCACTTTTTCCCTTGAGCCACACTAATTGTCCTGGTTATGAATTAATAGAACAGCATATGACATGAATTATGCAGTAAACCACATCTTATGCTTTCACTCAAAGGCCATGCCAGATCCCAACTGCTAACATGACCTTACCGTTTTTAAAGGCATAGAAAGTGATTTAAAAAAACGTATAGCTTAATCTTTTTGAAAACCACATATTTGGATATCTGGAAACGTAACATCTAGATGAAGCAGCCTGTTAAAAGAAAACATCATCCGAGGTTGTTTGGAACCATTTGTACGTAAAGCTCAGATGCATTTCTAGTCAGAGATTTGCACATAGATTTGGTATTTAGATTTTTCGTTGGGTACTATGACCTTAAATATCTCAATGTCTACTCTGGTTGCATACAAATGTCTTCTGGATTATTGAACAGTTTGCTTATTTTCTGTGATTTACACTTTTATTTCTCCCATCTATTTTTAGTTAGAGTATTGTGTATATTCCGCTTAAAAAGATCATTTGAGCACAGCCCTATGCAACAAAGCTGGTTTAAGAAATCCCAGGATGGGATAGAGCCAGACTCAACTCAGAGTGAGGATTGCGTCCTTGTTTCATCAGATTCAAACACCAAGGCAGGCTCCAGAGCTGTGGCTACCTCCAGCCAGGTGTAATAAAGCTAAACGAGGGTCTGGAGTTTTCTTTAATACAGTGAGGTCGATCGCAGATTGATTTAAAAAGGAAAGTGGATCAACTAACTAAGCAGCCCAAAATACCAATTCCTTAATTCTAAGTGAAATAGCCATTAAGGAGTTGTCATTTCTATCACTAATAACCTGAAAATAAACCGTGGAAGCCAATATAACGATATGTTCAGATGTGGTAGATTTATATTACAGTTCTGTTCAGCCATTCAGTCATCTGTTCCAGTGGAGTTTTATTTCATGTGGGATTCTTGGCATTGGATCCTGAGAACTTCATTGATTTAATTTAATGTTAAAAACTTAATTTGGCAGCAGAATTTTTGTTTTTACACTGTTTTATGATGGTTGATTCTAGAATCATATTTTACCATTAACAAAAAGGAATCCTGTATGAAAAAAAATGAAAAAAGTAGTCCACCTGTTAATTTTGTTTTTGTAAAGTGTAGCCTAATTCATGTGTGCAATACTATAAAATCCCTCATCGATGTCCTCCATTCTTCTGTGGTCAGGACATGCGACATCCATTGTCTTTCAATGCCAAATATGCACTTCTGATGGTGCATGAACTATTGTCTTTGCTAAGATAGATTTTCAGCATCTTCTACTGCATGTAGGATTACACGACAAGCAGAATATCTGAGCCCAACACTGTTCTCTACGGCGCTCCTTTTAGGGACCCAGCAGTCTGCAATCTGGGATGTCCCCAGAAATGCAGTAACACTCATGCATTTACCTGAAATTCAAATCTGAACATTGCTCTAATCTCTTCAACACACAGATGGCCTAATAAATGCATTTCTGTCAAGCTTAAAAGAAATGCCTTCTTTAAACGCATCAAACAGTAACAATTTCCACCGACAAAATTAAGAAATATATGGTAAGCATTAATTCTGCTTTTTCTTTTTCTTCAATTTATTATCTAATTCATGTAAGGCACTTTGACTTGTCCATGTACTGAATTGTTCTATACAAATAAATATATATCTGATAAAAATGCATATGGGGAAACGGCATCACTGACAGACCTCATTGCTTTGCAGCATTTATAAGATTTTGAAGGAACAGGGAGATTTACAAGAATATAGATTCTGCTGGTTGATATGCTGGCCCACAGTCCAATCTCAGCAGTTGGCGGTGATGCATCTAAACGTTTTCCCTCATCCGCCAGTGATTGGTTTCTGATCGGTGTCACCATTTACTGAGTAGATATGGACCCTAGGTTTGAGTAAGCCTGCCTGGTCAGAATAAATAATTTTGGTAATTTAAGTGTTTCGGCTTTTTTGAAACGAATTATGGCTTAATTGGGTCCAAATATCAGGAACATCCCAATTTAATCCTTTATCTTTGGTTAGTGAAATGGGACCCAGAGGTATGATATGGTTTGGGTAAACAAGGAACAGAGCCATAGTCGTGTCCAACGTTCACGCAAATTTTTCATGTGTCTAAACATACAGACAAGGCTCCTGAGAAGACTGAGGACCGATGTGGGCATCAGCAGATGTGCTTGCTGTCGCCACACACCAATATTAAACTTGATATAAACCTGGGATCATAACTTATATGGCCTTATTAAAAGAATAACAGACTACAGCAGCAATTTCCATTAGTTTAACTTAAGTGATTTGGCCCCAATTCAAATGAAAAAAAAAATGTTGTTCCTCAGATGCGAGTCAGCGACACATTACACCTTTTAGACCAAACTATTTGTTCGCATTAACATTTTGCACAGTGAAATGTTTGCTGAAGCTTGTGATACAGTATAAACTCCTGTAACTCTGTTTTTTTTTAGCATTTATCTAACTTACATACAAGTGTAAGCATTTCATGATATTGATATGATTCATTAAACTAAATCCTTCACAGTCAGCAGGGGATGTTTGCTGCAGCCACTATATGTGAGAATGTGCTGATTGACCCCTGTTCTTTTTGTCATTATGTACTTGAATATGTTTAATTAAAGGACATTTAATTAAACATATTCATCCAAATACAACTCTTAAGTGTATTTATAATTCTTATACAATCTGATAGTTATATTTTAAGTTTGGATTGAAGAGTAGATCTTGCGCCAGATGGCTCACGCATTCAGGGTAATTTTTGATAACGCTCATAGATATTAGATGCTATAAGAGCTGATAACTAAAGATGAATGTATTTCCATTACATATTTACATATTTTGTGTGTGTGTGTATTTATATATTTTAATTTAGTTTGGGGGCAAAAAACAATTGTGTCTCGTTTATCAATGTTTTTGATTTTAAGAACAAATGATACACGGATTCAAAATGATACAGAAAAACATAGCTTATTATTATTAGCATTAGCATAGCATTTATTTTATGCGCTGCATAGATTTTCTTATTCGCTCTGGGAATGTGTGCACGATTGTGCAGGTGTGCAGCATAGAGGAAACATTGGTCATAACTATGAGAGAAACAATGAATCCAAGCGAGTCTACACCAAGTGGAGAAACCAAAAACTGTAAAAGATTAAGTGTGAAAAAGCATCAAAACATATCGAATGGGAAAAGGGGCAAGAAAAACGTTGCACTCAGAATACAATATGAATTTTTGTGTTTACTGATAGAGATCAATGACGATGGCATATGTGCAAATACTCCTGATCTTCCAAAAGGACTAAGTAAACACTATCAGAATGAACGCTTGGCATATATTGTTCTATTTGAAAATTTTGTAGGTTTTTTAAATATTTTTTTATAGAAATAGTACATAACTACGCTGTAAAATATCAGATTTCAATTTATTTAAGAAAAATGTCTTATAAAAAGGTTTAAACCTAATTGGATTTTATGTAATCCACATGCTGAAAAAATGTACAGTATATACAGGCTAAGATAATTCCACTCTCCAACTTAAA